CTGTGTAAGAGGGAGCCCCAAAACAGCAACCACCTAAGGAGCCTGTTGTCCTTGTAGGATACTGTACTTACTCTCTCCACCGGCAATTGGGAAACAGAGGAGCTAAAAATCACAGAGAGGACTGTGGTGTTCAGAATGTTGCCCCAATGCTTACGCAGGACTTTCTGGTGGACACTGCACACGAAGGCAGCTGGACGCTGTCCCCCATATTCTCGAGCCTAATGCTCTGCTCAATAAGCAGGCAGCGCAGCTGAGGCTTCATGTCACATTAAAGCAACGCCTGTTCAGAGATAGACGTTGCAAGACCACAGATTGAGACAAAAATAGGCCCATCTCAGCCTGTCCCCAACGCACAAGTGCCTGCCATCTGTGGATTCAAGCTTTTACCCGTAAACCCTGGACCAGTGGTTCCCAACCCAGATCCAACTCCCAAGACTCCTAAGCAAAAGGCACATCCCCCGAGCTCCTTTTCACATTTCAGATGGTGAGCTGAAAAATGTTACATGTGCCCAAGCCAGGAAAACGGAGGTTAGTAAAAACAAAGCTCTCAGTTGGTGGCTAAAATTACATCACCTCCAAGGGGAACATTGGTTATCTCATGTTTACCACACACTGAGACCCGCAACTATGTTTCAAAGATTATGTAGACGGGACAGCAAATGAATGGCCCCTTGAGAATCGCAGTTTGTTCGGAATGCGGAATTGTCTGAAACGTGTTATCTTCACAAGGAGAAACAAATGAGAGTATTCAGCATTTGAATGTGTGAAAGCACTGTCTTAGAATGCACACACACAAAATAAAACCTTTTTGAAGGGAAAAAAAACAAGTATCCTTTGATAGGAGGTGTTATCTATCACAGACACAAGTTAATTTTTTTAAATTAACTCCAAAATGTAAGTAAAAATGGCAGTACCCAAAACAAACACTGCACAGATGAAAACTTGTATTAAGCATGCACATGTAAAAACAGATTTCACCTTGGCCTGCAGCATAAAGCATATTTGCTAGAAATGACCCAAGATGTAAGTCAGAGGTGGGAAATCCAAGTGACTGGGATCCCTGGTGATTCTGCAAACATGAAGCATCCCCTTTGGCATCCACCCACCACCATCCACACACGGAGGCATGAGCGGCTAAAACAAGCTCGGGCACAGCTGTGAGGCACGCAGGCTAATGCAGTGGTCACACTCAGGGCCGGACTGCCCGGTGGAAAGCCCAGACCTCCCACTCACTGGCTTGGTACCTTTAATTAAGGTTTCTGAGCCTCGGTGGGTATCCAGGAAGAGCCTGGACTTCCGTTGGCCTTGTAAATACAAGGCTAGTATTTACACCACTGGTGGTGGCGGGGGCCCTGTGAAAAGGCACCCCGCCCCCTGGCTCTGACCCCTCCCGCTCTCTCCCCTCCAGCTCACACTCCTCTCGCCATCTGTCCCCTTCCCCGCTTCAGCACAACTTCTTCCCTCTCTTGGGGCATTTCAGACTCATCAACACAAGTCACACACACAGGGGCCTGGGACGAGACCAAAGGGCTCCTGAGAGAAGAAAGACTCTCACAATGTGATTTCTCTGAAAACAACTGCAGTGAAAATCCTGAAGCCCCAGAAAGTAAGTCCCTCCGCGGCCTGTTTAAGCTTGGAAGTTACACCTTCAGGACCCCAAAGAAAATCATCCAGTCGATTCAACCTCATTTGGAATGTTAATGGGGGCCTATGGCACCTCTGAGCAGAAAAGGCTTTTGCAAACCATTTAGACACCCACACACCCAGCCCATCAGCCAGGAGATGGTCACCGAGGGCCTGGAGCCAGCTGGGGACTGCGCGAAAGAAGGGCGCTACTCCACTCCAGCCAGCCGCCTTCAGAACGGGAACTGCCAGGGTCCTGAGTGCGAGAAAAGCTGGAAGTTCAGATAAGTAAGTGTGGGCCACGCCAAACACGTCTGCAGGCTGCCAGGTTCCACCCACTGAGCCGGACAGAGCAGGGGTTCCCACCTGCCAGCCTCAGACCCCTGGAGATCACAGACCCGCCGCACAACAGTCACCAAATCCAAAGGCAGGAATTGGGCAAGGGCCCCAGCCAGTCATGGTTCATCGACCAAGTCAACAATGTGCCTTACTCACATAAGAACTACCTTTTTTCCTAATGTAAAAGGACTCTGTAATATTAATAAAAAGAAATGCCAGCCCTTGCTGGTGTGGCTCAGTGGATAGAGTGTTGGCCTGCACACAGAAGGGTTTCCGATTCAATTCCTGGTCAAGGGCATGTACTTGGATTGCAGGTTCAATTCCCGGCCCCCGTCCAGGCATGTGCAGGAGGAAACCAATCAGATGTGTCTCTATCACATCTGTTTCTCTCTTCCCGCCCCCATCCTTCCATCCCTTCCACTCTCTCTAAAACTCAATGAAGCCCAGCTGGTGGGGCTCCTGGTTGAGCGTAGACCTATGAACCATAAGTTCGATTCTGGTCAGGGCACATGCTCAGGTTGTAGGCTCAATCCCCAGTAGGGGTCATGCAGGAGGTATCCAATCAATGATTCTCTTTCGTGATTGATGTTCCTATCTCTCTCTCCCCCTCTCCTCCTTTTTGGAATCAATAAAAATATATTTAAAAATAAAACAAAAAAATCAATGAACAAAATATCCTCAAAAAAAAACACAAAACAAACATTTTAATTTAATTCTGCACTTGATGGTTGAGCCTGGAAGCTCCTGTGACTCGCCAAGGTCCCTCGGCCCCTCGCAGACCAGCAGAGGAAGCCAGGCTCCCCAGTTCCGATCAAGTCTTCTCCTCCATCAAGGAGGGTAGACCCTGGCCCCAAGAGTGGCCCAGGAGACTGCCAGGGGGAAACCCAGGATAAATGTGATCAAAACAAAATTCTGAACCAAGCTTTTCAGCATCACCTCTTCAAAGGGTCCCAAGGGCTTAGAGGTGGAAGCATGGATACCTGCTACCCCAGCTGTACACCCACACCACCTCCTCAGCTGCATTCCAGATGCGGGTCTTCCCGGCTCAAGGTGGATAAGGAACTCATTATCTTGCAAGGCCGGGCTACAGTGCAGGTGGGGAATTTGTCTTCCTGCCCCACATACGCTGAGCTCCTGGCCTCGCCATTCCGAATGTCTAACCCCTCTCAACCCTCCTCATGACATACTTCCTTCTCCCCACCCCCAAACACTGCCTCTGTATGTTCATATTTCCCTGCATAATCTGCCATCCCTTGGCTCCATTTCCCCAACTAACTGGCTTCATTAAAAAAAAAAAAAAAAAAGTTACTTCACTTTCAATGCTTACTTCAGTCTGCAGGCATTAGTTAAGGATGACGGATGTAAGATGAGAACAGGGGTCAAACACTTGAGAAGCAGAATTGGAAGGACCTGCCCACTAAGTCAAAACAGGGCACTCTGAGGGCAGAGCAGGTGCTGGGAAGTGGGGCATGCATTCCACCCGGACGTTTGCAGCCGTGGAGCCAAGGCCGCAGATACAGCCGCATACAGGGCGCGCTGTGGGACTCCAAGCACTCGATCAGACCAGGGTATGAGCAGCGCCCTCTGGCGTGTGTAACAGAGAGCCGGGAGAGGCATCCGTAGCTCATTACTCTATCAATTAAGAGTGGTCAATTGGTGGGGAAGGAAACATATGCAAACTTTTAGACAATAAAAATACATCATAAAAAATTAAATTAAATTAAAATTTAAAATTAAAAAAAAAAAGAGTGACTACATAATTGTCCTGGCTGGTGTGGTTCAGTGGATAGAGCGTCGGCCTGCAGACTCAAGGACACATGCCCCAGTTGTGGGCTCAATCCTCCGTTGGGGGCATGCAGGAGGCAGCAATCAATGATTCTTCCTGATCATGGATGTTTCTATCTCTCTCTCCCTCTACCTTCCACTCTGAAATCAATTTTTAAAAATATATATTTTTTAAAGAGTGACTACATGGCCAACTGAGTTTCTCAGACTTTCTCTGAGTGTGCTTACAAATCCCCTGGCAGCTTACTGAAAATGAGGACTGCCCAGTCCTCCCCAGAAACTCAGAAACCTCAGCTCTAGCGGGGCATAGGAATGTGTGTGTTGTTGTTTTCAACAACCAGCCTCTCAACAAACCCTAGCAAACAAAGTTGAGGCTTAGGAGAAGAAAGACACCATAAGGGCCAGGATTGTGATACCAAAAGGAAATGTTTCAATTTTATAAAGTTTATTCCTTCCATCTCAGCTGAATTTTATGCAAAATATTGTTTCTGGCCCTGGCCCGCTTGACTCAGGTTTAGAGTGTCAGCCCAGAGACCAAAGGGTTGGGGGTTCAATTTCCAGTCAAGGGCTGTACCTTGGTTGCAGGTTCAATCCCTGGCCCTGTTTGGGACACATGCAGGAGGCAACCAATTTATGTGTGTCTCTCTTATCGATGTTTCTCTCTATATCTATCTATCTATCTATCTATCTATCTATCGCTGTCTCTCTCTCTCTCTTTACCTTCTCCCCGTCCCCTCCCTTTTACTTTCTCTAAAAGTCAATGCAAAAATCCTCGGGTGAGGATAAAAAAAGGAATATTGTTTCTGTGGGCCATTAATGATGGTACTCACGTGAAATCCATGAAGCAACTGCCACTAGAAACCCCACCCTGCCTGGTCCTGCAGACAATTGCCCTCGACCAGTGGTCGGCAAACTGCAGCTCGCAAGCCACATGCAGCTCTTTGGCCCCTTGAGTTTTTAGCAAAGGCCAGCTTAGGAGTAGCCTAATTAAGTTAATAACTATGTACCTACCTATATAGTTCAAGTTTAAAAAAATTGGCTCTCAAAAGAAATTTCAATCGTTGTACTGCTGATATTTGGCTCTGTTGACTAATGAGTTTGCCAGCCACTGCCCTAGACTCTGAAATGAAATAGCTGTTCTGACAGTGTGTGGAGTTTACGCCAACATTTGTCAAGTCATAGGAAGTCCTTGTTCTAGCTGGTCAAAGCACCTCCTCCCTACATACCGGCATGGCAGCCACTCGGACACATACCTTGTGCTCCTCCTTCATCACCTGTTCAATGAGTTCGGATTTCACTGGAGGCTTGGAATACTGGCCTGAGAGAAGGCCATGTCCTAACTTAGTCCTGGACGGGAGAGAGAAACAAAAACAAAAGGTCATTGTTGTTTCCCTTCAGAGATGTTATAATTATCTACGAATGTCAGTAAGTACAGCTACTTTCAGGCCAACGGCTGTATCTCCATTCCTCACAAATAATTTATTCATTTGATTCTACTTGATACTGATTTCATTTTCAAATTTTCCTCCGTACTTTATAGATCACTTTAATTAATTTCTTTCTTCTTGTAAAAGTAACATGTGCTCATTTTAGAATACTTTTAAATATATATATAAAATAGCTCAGCCGGTGTGGCTCAATAGTTGAGCATTGACTTATGAACCAGGTGATCATGGTTCGATTCTCAGTCAGGGCACATGCCTGGGTTGTGGGCTCGATCCCCAGTAGGGGGCATGCAGGAGAGAGTCAATCAATGACTCTCATCATTGATGTTTCTATCTCTCTCCCTCTCCTTTCCTCTCTGAAATCAATTTAAAATAATGTTTTTAATTCATAAAATAAAGGCAACTGCCTTTAATTCTGCAAACGGAACCATGATGGACATTTTATTGAAGGCTTCTTAAAAACTATATAATGAGGCACTTACATCTGTGTGTTGAAATCTTGTGTTGGATCTAGAGGAGAATAGTCAAATATTCTGGGAAGATTTCCTACGTACCTAGGAAATGAGAAGCGACAGTCAAAACACGGAACTGAGCCATGAACTGAATTAAAATAAGCCATCACCCTTCTGAAGACCTCACCATTCAATCAAAATTATATCATCCACCTGGAAAAAAGTGTTTGCTGAGCACCTACCTCTGCAGCCATATGCATGGGCCTCCCTAAACTGTGTGTGCTCCTATCATGGATCCCAACCCTGGGTGTGAGTTAGAATCCCAAAGAGTTTCTTTAAAAATGCAAGTTTCTGCCCTGCCGGCGTGGCTCAGTGGCTGAGCATCGACCTATGAACCAGGAGGTCATGGTTCGATTCCCGGTCAGGGCGCATGCCCCAGTTGCAGACTCCATCCCCAATGTGGGGCATGCAGGGAATCAATCAATGATTCTCTCTCGTCATTAATGGTTCTATCTCTCTCTTCTTCTCTAAAATCAATAAAAATATATATTTTTTTTAAATACAAGGTTTCTACAATAAGTTCACTGTCTGAGACTGAGGTCTGGGATTTGTAATCTTTTACAGGTTTCCCAAGCAATTCTAGCACGTGGCCGGGGTCAAGAACCACCAGCTTATGCCATCACAGCTGCTGTCTCAAATACAAATAAGGTTAGGAATCGCTCCAATCATGCCAAAATGACTAACGATGATAATGTCGGTGACAACTATCATTTCCTGAGGGTTTCCTATGTTAACCTGGTTGAGTTAGCTTTTTTGTTCTTTTCAACTCACACAGGTGCTACATTTAAAAAAGACAATGAAAACAAATTATTAGAAAAATGAACTGCCACTTATAAAACATGGACAGGTCACAGGGCTACAAAAATCGCTCAATGCTTGCTTGCTCACTGCCCATTTCCATTCTCGTCTCCTCACAGAGCCGTATCCAGCCGGGTGAGGACCAGTGCCAGTCTGAGAATCATACTTTGAGTGACAAAGAAATCAAAAAGCTGAAATCCAGATTCCAGCCAAGGGCATGTACATTGGTTGCGGGCACATCCCAGGTAGGGGGTGTACAAGAGGCAGCTGGTCGATGTTTCTCTGTCATCGATGTTTCTAGCTCTCTATCTCTCTCCCTTCCTCTCTGTAAGAAAATCAATAAAATATATTTAAAATTAATTAATTAATTAATTAATTTTTTTTTTTTTTAAAGCTGAAATCCTATAAGACATGCCACTGACCAGCATTGGCCAAACAGATCACTGAGTCTCTCCCCAGCGCATCTATAGGAAGGGATCTGGCAGGCTTGCTGTGAAGATGCATGACAAACTTTTTCTTGGCATAGAGGGTGACAGTCTTGTAATGATACAAGCCGTTATCAGTATGACAAATTCCTGTGGGGGGTGCGGTTAGTTTACAAAGCTCACTTTATCTCATCTGATCCCCATAATGCTTGGCCAGGGCCCCCACCCTGCTTCAATGCAAGAAGTCACACCACGGCCAAGCCACGTGGCTCAGGGTTGAGCGTTGACCTAGGAACCAGGAGGTCACAGTTCGATTCCCGGTCAGGGCACATGCCCAGGTTGTGGACTCAGTGGCCAGTGTGGGGTGTGCAGGAGGCAGCCAGTCAGTGATTCTCTCTCATCATTGATGTTTCTCTCTCTCTCCCTCTCCCTTCCTCTCTGAAATTAAGAAAAATATATGAAAAAAAATAAAAAGAAGTCACACCTCGGATGACGTGGCGAGATGGCCTGCAGCTCATGAAGCCGGGCTTTCCGGGCTGGGCGGGCCCTGGCGGGGGTGGGGGTAGGGGCAGCAGTGGCCCGGGCTGCGGGGACACTCACGCTCTCTGGAACTCCGGGATGCTGAAGATGGCCTGCATGACGGAGCTGAGGTAGCAGCTGTTGCCCAGGTTCTTGAGCCCCGTGTACCCGGGGCCGTACATGGGCTTCAGCTTCGTGCCCGTCTCCTGGATCACCTCCCACTCGCTGACCCTCGGCTTGATGTCATTGTCCCGCAGCCCGTTCTCTGTCTGGGGCAAAGTCAATGAAGAAAAACAACTTTAGCTGTGATCATCGTTGGATGCCCCATGAAATATGTCGAACAGCAACGGTGTTTCCGCCTCTTTTCCCCACAACTAAACAGACAAATAAAAACCTGATTAAAAGAGACTGAGATAGTGATGGCTGTACAACAGTGGAAATATACGTAATGCCAAAGAATGCTTCAAATGGTAAATTTTATGTGAAGTCTATCTTTCCACAATAAAACACACACACACACACACACACACACACACACACACACATTTAAAAGTCAGAGAGACTGAGAAGAAAGTAGATAGGAGGAGGAAGAAAGACAAATAGGAATCGGGGAAAAAAGAAGAAGCAAGTAGAATAATTTCAGGAGAGGATAAAACACAACCCAGCAAACAGTTGGAGAGGAAAGTGATAGGAAACTCAGGACTTGGGAGTGCTTCGACCCAGGAGGAAGGCTTCCAGAAGAGCAGAGGAAACAAATTAACACGCGACACGAGTGAGGAGGAGATGGGAGAACATGAGGAGAGGGCTAAGACAGAGCACACGCATTTGAATAGCTCCGCCCAGGGACTAACATCGCAGTCCTGACAGCAGCCTGGGAACACGATATTAAATGAAGGAAAGCTCTCCCATCAGCAATAACACGCTGGCTTATTCTTTCCCTCCCCCAGACGCTCCGCTTCCATTCCTGGAGTTAATTAAAGTGATGCTGGTCACAGATAATTTTAAAGGTCATCTCCCGTACCTTCCCCCTTTAGTGAACAGAGTGATTCATGCGGCTCTCCATCCAGGGAGATTTTGTATGTAAACTCCAACTACACAAAGTGGTACTTGACAGGTTGCCATTTTTATTATAAAATTAAGTCCAAGCTGGTAACCAAAAGAAAAGGTCAATGAATTACACTCAAAAAATAAATGCAAACACGGAAACCTGTGAAATGAAGATCCATGTTAGAGAAATTAAATAAAAACAGACAGTCTCCTCCCCACAGGATGGGAACAGAGACAAAAGCAGACGCTCTCACCCCATGCATATGAAGCATATCGATTCCAAAATGTGCTAAGTGCTTGGCCAAGTGAGGATCCGTAACGGGTTCCTCTTCTTGAAACGAATAAACATCTAGAGAAGAGAAAACAAGCTGTAATCAAGTCATTCAATATTCAGCATATATTTACTGAGCCCCAACGATACGCCTGGCTTGGGATATATTAATAAAACAGAAAGCTTTTGTAAGTTACACTCAACTGGAGAGTCAAACAATGAGCAACAAACATAATAAGTAGGTATTCTTGGTAAATGTACCCATATATCAATTCCTGTGACATTTCAGCAATATAAAAAGGTTTCCTGAAAGAGCAGTGTCTAAAGTCAAAATACTTTAAAATTCGACAAACAAAGACCCTAACCTTTGACTTTTCTAGCCAAAACCACGGGGCAGTGCCCTAAGTTCAGGAGGAAAGAGGGTGAGAGAGGAGAAGGCGACACTGTGTGGCCGCAGCAGGGAGAATCGATGGGAGAACACAGGCCCTCAGTGGCAGCTGAAAGGCTGATTTGGGGTGTGAGGTCCAGGACAAAACACAATTCTGCTATAGAGGAAGCTCTATAGTCTCAGGCCTATCAGCTCACCAACTTCCACCTGCCACCTGCCCCCCTTCCTTCTGTCCCATATCGGGATCCACACCTCACAGTGCACCATAGGCGCACACAGAAGATGACAATGTGTGATATCATTTGCCTCAAACCCCACAGGAGGCCCAGAACCCAGGTACGCTGACACCTGGCCCCACCCTTTCTCTCCGCACCAGCCTATTTCACGAAATCTCCCAGAAGACCTGCAGACTTGGTGAAGCGCCATCCTAGACCCTCAATAGAAATGGAGAGACAAAAGGCAGTTTCTTCACTCCTGAATTTGAAGAACAAATTTTACTACAAGGGAAACAGACATAAAGATATTGTTCTGTGAGAAACTAAAAGATAGACTGCCCAAGAAACTAAAATATTTCCTGCTCTTTGGAATGTCACCAGCAGAAGAAAAAGTAATAAACAGAAACTATAGTGACCCTTTGGCCCAAACCCCGATACATGGAGTTGCAATGTCATCAAATACATGGAGATTCTATCATTAACTAGAGGCCCGGTGCACAAATTTGTGCACTGCATGGGTGGGGTCTGGCCGACCCACATCGATCAGGGCCAATTGGGACAGGCTAGCCAGGGGGAGGAGCTTCAGGTGGTTGGCAGGCTGGCCCTGCCTCCTGGTCAAACTCCCAGTGGAAGGGACAATTTGTATGTTAGCCTTTTATTATATAGAATTGGTTAAACATTGTATAGCTTTTTCTTCTTTTTTTTCTTTTTTTTTTTTTAATATATTTTATTGATTTTGTACAGAGAGGAAGGGAGAGAGATAGAGAGTTAGAAACATCGATGAGAGAGAGTCATCGATCAGCTGCCTCTTGCACACCCCCTACTGGGGATGTGCCCGCAACCAAGGTACATGCCCTTGACTGGAATCGAACCCGGGCCCTTCAGTCCCCAAGCCGACGCTCTATCCATTGAGCCAAACCAGTCTCGGCTATATAGCTTTTTCTTCTATTCCTCTTTCCCTAGAGGCCCATTTAAATTTGTGGGTAATAGTCTTCATTTATATCCTTTTTTAAAAATATATTTCAGTGCTTGAAAGCAAAAACAAAAGACAAAACCCCAACCCAATTAAGAAAGCACTTTCAAAAAGTTTACTAAAAACATCAACCAAATATGTGAACTAATAACTTGAAACAAATGCAACAATATTTTTCATCTATGACAAATGACAGAAAAATGTCACTAAATACTGGCTGGAAGGTGAAAAGGACATTTCCTGGGCACTTTTACTTGGATTATTATTAACTAGTGGGGTTGTTTTGAAGACTTAAGGCTTTAAGCCTCTCATTATCAGAGAACTATTAGAAAATAAAATTGCTAGAACTGCACCATTGACATTAGCCCAGAGTTTTGGATTAGGCAAAAATCACAGAGCTATTAGGACAGTGACTAACCCACTAGACTCAGCCACATAGTGAAAGTAACGTTTCCTAACCCCAGTCACTCATTGCTCCAACGATACAACATGATTCAGTCAGACACTATAGTTATTTCTTACTCAAAGGACAAAAGCAGTTTGGTGAAGAACATACAAGTGATCCTTACACTTGATCATCATGAAGAATTTAGAAATTACATGGAGTCACAGGGGAAAAAAAAATATCTGGAGTTAACTCAGAGGCTGACAGTCCTGACTTCTACATTTTTCATTGGGAAATTCACTTCATCTCTAACTTCGGTTTAGCAAAGTCCATCTTAGCTCAGAAACTATTGCAGCAAATCAGCATTGCCTGGCCTTCCACTCCCCTACCGGTAACTTGACTTAAAAACTTGGAACCAAGAAGCACAGTTAGGAAGTCCCCAGAGGATCCTCCCAGGAATACCCAAGCAATGTTTCACAAGTATGTCAGTATACCACACACATGGTGCTCAGGTGCTGCTGTCCAAGGTGACCACCATTCAACATAGTTCCAGGGTCTTGTGAAGAATGCTACGGTGGAACAGGACAAGGAGGGGCACAAGGCAGACCAAAACTAAAATAAAGTCATCAATCCTTGGTTCCAAACCCTCAGGCTGACAAGAATTCAAGGAAGCTTATGTCCACGTCAAAAGTAAAGTTGATCACCTGAAACCGGTTTGGCTCAGTGGATAGAGCATCAGCCTGCAGACTGAAAGGTCCGGAGTTTGATTCCGGTCAAGGGCATGCACCTTGGTTGCGGGCACATCCCCAGTAGGGGGTGTGCAAGAGGCAACTGATCAATGGTTCTCTCTCATCAATGTTTCTAACTCTCTATCCCTCTCTCTTCCTCTCCATAAAAAAATCAATAAAATATATATATATTTTTTAAATAATTAAGTTGATCAAAGAAGATGACCTTGAGAATCTATTGAGTGGGTGAATCGGCCTGTGGGATAGGCATTTTCACAGCTGCCTTGGGCATCTCTGGAAGACTCTTTCCCAACCACCCAAGGCATTGAGGCATGTTTCCATGATGGAAGATAAATACATCCTGTCCTTCCCCCACCCCTTCTCTCTCCCTTCCCACCAAGAACCTCTTACTTGTTTTGCCAAACCAATGTCTCCTCCCACAAAGAAAAGCTTCTTGTTGGTTTGTTTGTTTGGTGATCTGTTTGTTTCCTGGTTTGTTTGTTGTGGTACCCATGGGGACCCAGAGCAGAATTTGATATGGGCTCATTTTTAGTACCCATGCCACCACAATGGCCTAGCCTGGGGGATCAGGGCTTCTTGGAAGAGCTCATTCTAAGTCGAGACCTCAAGATGAGTGGGAGTTTATCACTGAATAGGTATATTCTTATAGGGGAGAAGGAAATCAGCATGATCAGATCATACTACCATTAAATAGTTGAGCCCACAGCCTGCTAGGATTCCATGTTTACTAAACAATATTCTAAATATAATTCAGCTTCCCACAGGGAAGGAATGTACTAGTCAAGCAAGCAGTTATAGCTCTCATTATAAACTAAAAAATAAAGTCTGGCCAAAAACCGGTTTGGCTCAGTGGATAGAGCGAAAGGTCCTGGGTTCGATTCCGGTCAAGGGCATGTGCCTAGGTTGCGGGCACATCCCCAGTGGGGGGTGTGCAGGAGGCAGCTGAAAGATGATTCTTTCTCATCGATGTTTCTAGCTCTCTATCCTTCTCTCCTCTTCTCTGTAAAAAATCAATAAAATATATTTTTAAAAATAAAAATAAAATAAAGTCTGAATTGGAGACTTTGTCTCTTGTGCATTGAATGAGCCTCAATTAGCTTAGCAAGAGTGGGATATGGGACCCTCAGCAGCGGTACATTTGCTGGCCACCCTGCCTGCCCCCAAGGACACCGTGCCCTCTGGGGCCTCAGCGCACACAGGTTCATCATACGATATTTAGGGAAACTTTACGCATGTTTCCATTAACTTATTTGGCTTTTAAATACACAGGGTTATAGTTAGCAATCTATTAAACACAGATTTAAGAAAAACTAAGACAGACCTGACGCATCTCATACACTTGTATGAAATGATAATTACACTGAAAATAGTCGTTTGTGCTAAAACCAACTCTGCACAAGATAAACAGGAATCAAATCCTGATCTTTATTCAGAAAGTGAACATTATTTCAGCTAAATGAATTTGAGAATCCTCACCGCAGAATGTATGATTCACACTGCTATTGTCAGTGTTTTGTTCACCTATGACTGAAATCTGAGTAATTTATTCAAATATGGTCAATTATATAATAAAGGAAACCTTAAAAGTTCTTCCTCTAAAGAAAAATTAACTAGCTCGGCTGGTGTAGCTCAGTGGTTAAGCATCAATCTATGAGCCAGGAGGATACTGTTGGATTTCTGGTCAAGACACACGCCCAGATTGTAGGCTCCATTCCCAGTAGGAGGTATACAGGAAGCAGCCCATCAGTGATTCTCTATCATTGTTGGTGTTTCTATCCCTTCCTTCTGCTTCCTCTTTGAAGTCAATTAAAAAAAATTTTTTTTTTTAATTTTAACTATGTCAGATAATGGGTTAATTCTTTTTTTCATTTTTTAGTTTTTATTCATTGATTGGGGAGAAACATCAATTTTTCGTTGTTCCACTTATTTATGCATTCATTTGTTGATTCTGGTATGTGCCCTAACTGAAGATCACACCCACAACTTTGGTGTATTTGGAAAATGCTCTAACCAACTGAGCTACCCAGCTATGGCTCAGCCCTGAGGGGGGGGAAGAAAAAAAAAAAGAGGGGGTCAATATTCTTAATAGCTAAAGTTTTTTTAAAATGATTAAAAAAAAACACACACACACACACATAAACCTATTATAAAATCAGCCTAAGAAATTCACAAAAATTACTATGAATAGTCAAGAGTACTATAAAAAATGTTCAACCTCACTCGTAAAGCAAATTGAAACAAGATACCAGATTAGCGAAGGTTTTGGAAATTTCTGAATACCCCAAGTTGTCCAAGATTTGGTGAAATGGGTATTCTCATACACTGGGGGAGGAAATGTAAATTACTTCAACCTTGTAAGAAATAAACTCAGCAACTGAAAAATTAAGTGTCGGTCTTTTGTTCATAGGAATTCTACTTAATAAAAGAGTAATATGCAAATTAACCATCACTCTTCTACACCCACAAGCCACGCCCACCAGCCTCACCCACCAGCCAATCAGAGCGAGTATGCAAATAAACACAACCAAGATGGCTGCAGCCAGAGAGCAGGAGGGAGGATTGGGTTTCCCAGGCAATGGAAGAAGCCAAGCTTTAGCCTCCACTCAAGGCTACAAAGTTTCAATAATAGAAGGTAAACAAATCCAAACAGAAATGGCGGCAGCCGGAGCTACAGAGAGCAGGATAGGGTTGGCCCCAGGCAACAGAGGAAGCAAGGCTTTCCGCACACCCTGGCCAGCCCAGACCTCTGCTCCAGGCTACAAAGTTTCAATTATAGAAGGTACATAAGACCCAACAGAAATGGCTGCCGGCCACCGAGTGAGCAGGAGCTTGGCTCCGCTCCAGGCTACAAAGTTTCAATTGTAGAAGGTAAATAAATCCCAGATACCAGGGCCTCCACTTGGGTGGTCAGGGGGCGTGGCCAGCCTGCAAACCACCACAGGCCTCTCGCCCAGGCCACCCCATGCCCCAAGGGAACCCCCACCCTGATCCGGGACAACCTTCAGGGCAAACCAGCTGGCCCCCACCTGTGCACCAGGCCTCTATCCTATGGAATAAAAGAGTAATATGCAGATTGATCATCACTCCAACACACAATATGGCTGCCCCCATGTGGTCAAAGATCCTGCCCCCATATGGACACAAGAAGGCCACAACAAGATGGCCAGCAGTGGAAGGCAGTTGGGAGGCACCAGGCCTGCAGGAGAGGGCAGTTGGGGGTAATCAAGCCTTGAGGGAAGGGCAGTTAGGGTGACCAGGCCAGCAGAGGAGGGAAGTTGGGGGCAAACAGTCTGAAAGCAGTTGTACATCAATCAGGCTGGCATGGGAGTGGTTAGGGGGTGATCAGGCTGGCAGGCAGAAGCGGTTAGGGGCAATCAGGAAGGCAGGAAGGCAAGCAGTTGGGAGCCAGCAGTCCTGGATTGTGAGAGGGGTCCCAGATTGGAGAGGGTGCAGGCTGGGCTGAGGGACAACCCCCTACCCCCGGGCCTCTAGTCTATCATAAAAAAATAGACAAACACCCAAAGGTTTGTATGCCCACAAGGATATTCAACAGAATAGCAAAAAATATAACAACTCACAGGGAAATAGTGAAATGATTTATAGAACTATCCTGGGATCCTGATGAGGATGAAAAACATAATTTAAAGTTAAAAGAGAAAACACTAACAATAGCAGTGTGAATCATACATTCTGCCATGAGGGTTCTCAAATCCATTTAGCTGAAATAATGTTCACTTCCTGAAAAAAGATCAGGATTTGATTCCTGTTTATCTTGTGCAGAGTTGGTTTTAGCACAAATGACTATTTTTAGTCTAATTATCATTTCATACAAGTGTTTGTGATGCATCAGTTCTGTTTTAATTTCTCTTAAATCTGTGTTTAATAGATTGCTAACTGTAACACTATGTATTTAAAAGCCAAATAAGTTAATGACATGATAAACATAATTTAAAGTTAAAAGAGAAAAATAAGGTATAAAACTTTATATAGTGTAATTCAAATTTTGTAAAAACTAGGGGTTGGGGAGTGGGGGGCTTGTATAAGAATTAATAAAGGCTTTAGAAAAGAAGGAAAAAAAAGACTTAAAGAAAATATCCTAATTGTTAGAAGTGATTTTCTGGCAAGTGTATTACTAGTAATTTATTTACTTCTCTACATTTTTCTCTGTTTTCTAAATATGTTTCACTGAACATCTGCTTCTTGAATAATCAAGAGGCAAATATAAACTTCCCTTCCTCAAACGAAAAGGAAAAAAAATTCAGATGCATTATAAATTGCAGTTTAAAAATAAGCTTCACTCTAGAGAAAAAGATTTTGAAAAATTAAAAATGCAAGAAAATAGAATTAACCTTTGCCTTTATTATTGGCACACGTTTAAATAAAAACACTTTTTATTATTTTCAACATATTTTTATTGATTTCAGAGAGGAGGGGAGAGGGAGAGAAAGACAGAAACATCAATGATGAGACAGAATCATTGATTGGCTCCCACAACCCGGGCATGTATCCTGACCAGGAATACAACTGTGACTTCCTGGTTCATAGGTTGATGCTCAACCACTGAGCCATGCTGACCAGGCCAAATAAAATCTAATTATTTAAATACTTACATGCCATTTGGTTCATTTGACAAAAGTATGTGTGCCTACTATGTATAATATTTTGTATGGAACCCAAAGATAAGTAAGAAATAGTCCAGCCTTCAAACAACTAAGACTGTATAACTAAGACATGTACACCAACATTTGTAGTCTTGAACAGGCTGTATCAAAGCACTACATAAGCACAGAAAGTAGAAACATTTGAGTTATTATCTCCTTATAATCTCATCCAATAGAATGCCTACATTACAAACCCCTCTCTGTGGTCCATAAAAAGATGATGATGGTTGCCTTATACAGCAATCATCCAACGCAGCAATGATCAGCAAACACGGCAAGAGCCCTCGTCCAGCCGCATATCCTGAACTTTCTCTTCAGATCCTGGAAGCCTTAGCATTTGACGTGGCTTGGGTAGAGTTCTGTTTGCTTGGGGGGATGGCGGAATGTTTAGGATCAGCACCTGCCAGGACTGACCAGCAGACCCTGAGCAAAGGATTAATGGACTACTCTGACACACGTTTCTGTGAAAGAAAGGCTAAGGGACTGCTTAGCTATAGGAACCAAGCAAGTCCCATTCACCTGCCTCCTTAGGCTTGTAGTATCAGCTTGAACTAAAATTAATCTCTAGATACAATCAGCAGGGTAAGTATCCTTGAGAAAGCACATGCTTCTACAAGGTCGGGTCTAAAGACTAAACATATAAATTCCAATAAAACATCCAGGGGCTCAGACTTGTTTGGAAAAGTCAAAGCAGGGGCCGCCACCTTTGGCAAGGTCTCCCTAGAAGCCACAACCTTTCGGAGAATCCTCCTTACACACTTTCCAACCAAGACCTGCACTTCCCCTCAAACACCTAGGCCTCTTGCAGCTACTTTAATGAATTAAAATAAGTCCTCTAACTTGGAATTACCCAAAATGTGAATCCAAAGAATCTTGACATGACCTAACTCAGTGTTTTTCAACCTTTTTTGGGCAAAGGCACACTTGTTTCATGAAAAAAATCACGAGGCACACCACCATTAGAAAATGTTAAAAAATTTAACTCTGTGCCTACATTGACTATATATAAAGTAATTCTCTTGAATAGGAATCAAATAAACACAAAGAAAGTATTTTATAATTACTTTATTATGAAATATTAAGTAAACAAAATAGTGAAAAATTATAAAATTCTTGTCTTGTCTGCACCTACGGCACACCAGGCAACATCTCGCGGCACACCAGTGTGCCGCGGAACAGCAGTTGAAAAACGCTGACCTAACTGCCAGCCTCAGTGATAAAACAAGTGAGAAACAAAACCAGTTCAATGGAAAGATTGACCAGAACACATTTAGTGAGTCCATCCTAGCCAGTTACTCAGAGGCAGGCTAATTCAGAAAGAGATCAGAGAAAAGATGCATCTTACCTAATAATAGACAAACATGTAAATTGACCATACCTCCTCTACTCCCACAGCCAATCAGAGTGAGAATGCAAATTAACCCAAGCAAAGATGGCAGATTTAATTTGCATATGCAGGCACGGAGCAGCCAGGAGGGGCTGAAATCCTGCTATAGGGGAGCGGGGGTGGTGGAGGGAGCTATATGGGTGGTGATTTGCCAGCTCCCGGGCGGCTGTAAGTGAAGCCAGGGAAGGAAGGCCTATTCCTGCACATATATCGTGCGATGGGCCTCTAGTATCTTTATATTGCTCCTAAAAATTCATCTTATCCTTAACATAAAGAAGAAATGGACTTTCAAGCCTGGACAGATGGAGAAGACAGCCCTAGATGTTGCCCCAATAGTGCTTAATAATTATTTTCAATAGAGCTTAGAGGTTGGATGGGTCTTACAGCCACTGCTCAATATTTAAGTTGCTCATTACTGACCATGATGTGATTTCCTTTTTCCTCACAAATGGTAGAAGGAATTAACTGTATAAACATGGCCAAAAGTATTGTTTTAAAGTATACTGTATAAGACCATAAAGAAAAAAAAAATTCTGAAGCTGACAGTGGAAATAGGGAGTAATTCAACTCCTCGCTGCACATGAACCACCACTGCCAGAGGGCGGCAGGGACTCCGAACAGGCAGTATCCGATCTTTCTAACCCATCTTCTCCATAATGAACCTCCTTGGTTTCTAAAAGAATGAGTTCTAGGGCTTCCCCAACTATTCTAACACTGAGTTTGATTGTGCCCATTTGCTTCACAAGTCCCTGGCTCCTGCTTCTCCCCTCTAAGCCAAGAGAGACACAGAAAGGTAATAACCAAAACAGCTAGCTTTTATCACACCCTACTGCGTGCACTGAGCTAAAAGCTTGTGCACCTTAGCAATCCTGTGAGGGAGGTACCATGGTTATCTTCAAGATGAGGAACCTGACACTTAGAAGGATATGAACATTCCCCCAAGACCTCACAGCTAATAAGAGGCAGAATCAGGATTCAAACCTGAGCTGTCAGAACCTAGAGCCTCCACTCTCCAACTATTGGGTTAAGACATTGCTCAACTCTAGGAAGCAGCCACTGCCGGTCCCCAGAGTCATACAAGCACACTCACCTGCCCCGTCAGGAGTGATGGTTCCCAGTTTCACAGCGAGAGGGTAGCCCATGTCTCTGTAATGCTCCAGGGCGTGCCCGTTGCCCCCAGAGCTGTCAAAGAACCACTTCCCACACAGGACGGAGCCATCGGTGAGGTTCAACCAGAGGTTTTCCCGCAGGTCACATCTGGCACACTTCCAACCACTGGGAAGTCATTGAGAAACAGTTAGAACAGCTGGAATGCAAGGCATAATTAGAAAATCAACAGTGCCTCAAGAAGGAACAAGCCTGGCTGGTGTGACTCAGTGGCTGTGCATCGACGTATGCCACTAGGAGGTCACGGGTTCAATTCCCGGTCAGGGCACATGCCTGGGTTGCAGGCTCAGTTCCCCAGTGGGAGCATGTGGGAGGCAGCCGATCAAAGATTCTCGTTCATCCTTGATGTTTCTATCTCTCTCTCGTTCATTATTGATGTTTCTATCTCTCTGAAATCAGTGAAAATATATATTTTTAAAAAGAAGGAAGGCGTGTCTCAAGCTGGGGCCACAGTAAACAATCAGGGGAGTAATCTGAGTCACTCCCAGAGCAGCAGGACCCCACAGTACCCTGCCTGCCACCCAGATGGGGACCAGCTCCTCCCGCTCCTCCGAGATGGCTCTTGGACTTCAAAAAACTAACGTAGAACCTGAGGGCAGAAGGGGAGGTCATTTCCTTAATATTCCCATGTGAGGGACAGAGGATCTTGAATAAGTTTAAAACATTAAGGATAACACCTATATAAACACCTAAATTTCAAAAGCATTAGCTAGGAAACCGTTTAAACAAAACCCTACTACACGGCAAATCTAAACTAAGTAGAAGGGAAATCAGCCTAATGGAAGGCTAACTATCGGGTATGTGTCAGGGACTTAGTGAATGAAGCTCTATCATTTAATTCTAATGAACGCCCTCAGCATCAGTATTACCATCCCCACTGTGAACAGGAGAAACTGATGTATCATGCCTGCACTAAGACTACACAGAGTGGGACTGCAGTACAGTTAGGGTTCAACAAGACTGGTCAGGTTCCTAATCTGCTCTTTCCTTCTAGCACCTGCCTCTGGAAACATGCCAGCACTTAGGAGATGTTCAAGTGGCCCAGAGAGCATTCCAGCCAAAAATGTGACAACCAAAGACTGCTGTAAGTTCCCCAAGAAGCAGAGTCTGAGACAAAAATATGAATGTAAATGGCTTGTTTGGGAGGTGATCCCAGGAAGCATCACAGGGAAGTAAGACTAGAAAGGGCAGGAGGCTGCCATGGGCAATGGGGACCCCGTCCAGCTGGGGAACTCTGGAGGCAGTTATCCCACCTGAGTAGGGATCTTGGGTATTTGTCCAGCCACTCCACAGGCACTGGCTGAGGGCTGATCCAGGAGGGCAAGAGGGAGCATTAACTCCATAGCATCTCTGACTGTCTCATCACCAGCCCACCTGGTTTTGGCAGGCAGAGAAGGCCCTCAGGCAAAGAGTTGCAGGTGGTTGCAACTGGGAGCATTAGGGTGGGGACAGGGTCAGGGGTATGGGCTGGCTATATTCAGCATCTACTACAAAGGTACAAATAATTATGTGGTTTTTTTTAATATATTTTATTGATTTTTTACAGAAAGAGAGACGGATAGAAAGTTAGAAACATCGATGAGAGAGAATCATGGATCAGCTGCCTCTTGCACAACCCCCTACTGGGGATGTGCCCGCAACCAAGGTACAAGCCCTTGACTGGAATCGAACCCGGGACCTTTCAGTCCGCAGGCCAACCCTCTATCCACTGAGCCAAACCGGTTTCAGCAATTATGTTATTTTTTTATAATTTCATTTTTATTTTTATTAGAGAGAGTACAAGAGACAGAAAGAGAGAAACACCAATGTGAGAGAGACACATCAATTGGTTGCCTCCCACATGTGCCCCAACGGGATCAAACTTGCAACCGAGGTATGTGCCCTTGACCAGAATCAAGACCAGGACCATTTAGTCTATAGACCGACACTCTATCCACTGAGCCAAACTGGCTAGATAATTTTAGAGAGGTTTTTTGTTTTTTGGGGGTTTTTTTCATTGATTTTAGAGAAGGGGGTGGAGAAAGGGAGGGAGGGAGGGAGGGTGGGAGGGAGGGTGAGAGAGAGAGAGAGAGAGAGAGAGAGAGAGAGAGAGAGAGAGAGAGAGAGATATCGACTTGTTGTTCCACTTATTTATGCATTCATTGATTGATTCTGGTATGTGTTCTGACCAGGGATCGAACCTGCTACCTTGGGTAATGGGACAATGCTCTAACAAACTGAGCTACCTGGCCAGGGCCTAGAGAGAATTTTTGAACTTATTTTTAATAAAAGACATCTGATAAAAACATATCAACTGCTAATTCAGGGAAGACGGTAGAAAAGTAGATATTCTTTTGGCCAGTTTTAGAGGTTAAAGCTCCATTTTCCCGACACTCACCTTGGAGGAATCCTGACTCCATTGTCCAGCTGGGTGAGGTTATTGGCATACTTGGATACTGGCAATTCGTGTTCCCAGGTGTCTGGGTCTTGCTTTCTGTATGGAGATTTTGAGCTAAGAACTGCATCGCAAGCAATTGTTACCTATAAGACAAACCCAAGTGTAATATATTAGAACAGTTTGAGAGAATAACAACTTCTATAAAGTAAATGTAAAGGTTTGTTAGTAAATACAGCTTAATCTAAGAAAATGCAAATGGGTACACAGTTGCCACAAAAGCAAGATCCTACTTTCTTGATTCCAGCACTTTCCGCCCCGGCTCTTGCTGGGTTTTGCTCTGGCCTATAGTTTGCAGTATTGACCATGGCACAAGATAGCGAGGAGCCAAATCCAGTCTGTAAGCCCAAGTGCAGGAGCCAACTTTAAAAATTCTACCCCTTAGCAAGCAGAGTGAAAAGTATAAGGTGAACAATTTTCAAATTAGCCAAGGGAGAGCTCCAGGGGTGTGATTTCCTCCTAACAAATATACACCCAGATATGCAATAGCCTCAACGCATCACACAACGGCATGTGGTCAAGGGCACTTGAATGGAATGCAAGCAGCAGCCTCATTACTTAATCTGGTGCAAATGTGACCCTGGCCAGGGACGTGCCTGGTATCTCTGTGCCAGATCCGTCCACATTATGAACAGGGGGTGGGGAGGTGCAGATTCTCTGCTTTCTCCCAAACCCAAGTGACCTTGGACATACGCCCACAGTCACTTTTGCTTAATGATATGTTACTTCTGGCTGTCTTAAAAAACATATTCTGGTGGGGATATAAAATGGTGCAGCCACTTTGGAAAATAGTTTGGCCGGTTCTCAAACAGTTAAACAGAATTAGCATATGACTCAGGGATTCCATTTCAAGGTACATACCCAAGATAAATATGTATCCACACAAAAACTTATACACAAATGTTCGTAGAAGCGTTATTTACAATAGCAAAAAGGAGAAACAACCCAAATGTCCATTGATGATAAATGGATAAATAAAATGTCAGCAGGCACCGGTTTGGCTCAGTGGATAGAGCGTCGGCCTGCGGACTGAAAGGTCCCGGGTTCGATTCCGGTCAAGGGCATGTACCTTGGTTGCGGGCACACCTCCAGTAGGGAGTGTGCAAGAGGCAGCTGGTTGATGATTCTCTCTCATCGACGTTTCTAACTCTCTATCCCTCTCTCTTCCACTCTGTGAAAAATCAATAAAATATATATTAAAAAAAAATGTCATACGTGCATACCACAGAATGGGTATTTTCTTTTTAGCAATAAAAAGCAATCAAAATAATTTTTTTTAAAAAAAGCAATCGAGTACTGATACATGCACAGCATGGATACATCTTAAAAATATATGCTAAGTGAAAAGAAGCCAGCAATACAAATAAACATGTATTACATAATTCCATTTATATGAAATAACCAGACTAGGCAAATCCATAGAGACAGAAAGTAGATTAGTGATTGCCATAGGCTGGGGGGGCGGGGGGGGATGAGAAGTTGAGAGGTGGGACAATAAAAATATTTTAGAATGAGCCCTGGCCGACGTAGCTGAGTAGTTGGAGCATCGGACTGCACACTTGATGGTGTGAGGTTCGATTTTTGGTCAGGAGCAAGTACCCAGTTTGTGGGTTCACTCCCTACTCCCAGTAGGAGCGAGTGCAATAGGCAACAGATCGATGTGTCTCTCTCAGATCGATATTTCCCCCCCTCTTCTCCCCCTCTCCTCCCTCCGTTCCACTCTTTCTGAAAAGTAATGGGGGGGAAAACTCTAGAATGAAATAGTGGTGATGGATGCCCAACTCTGAATATAATAAAAGCCACTGAATTGTTAAAAATAAAAAATTTAAGCAAATATTTGTATTCTGCATCACTAACATCCTGCACGCACAATTAGCTGAACTCCATGCAGAATCTCTTCCCCTGGGTATCACTGATTGATCCCAGAATTGATGAAGAAGCAATGGAGGAAATTCCCTAAGCTGCCATCCCACCCCCATCCAACCCATGGGCAATTCCCATTAGTCCTACATCCAAAACTATTTGGAATCTGTAGCTCTTCTCAATTTGGACACACCCATCTCGGTTCCAATAACAACCCAGCTCACCCCGTGGCCACACAGCAGCCCCTGACAGTCTCCTTCCTGCAGCAGCCAGAGTGGTCTGCTGTGAATATCAGATCCTATCCTCCCTCAGCTTAAAACTGAAGTTACACTGAACACTGGGCGAAGCACAGTCAGGAATGAGGAAAAAGCCCCTCCCCTTAAAAAGCTTTTACTGTGATAGATCAGGCATCCATAACTATCATTTACAACCTTTAAAAAAAAAAACAACACTCCCCTTCATCTCTCACCACAAGTGCTATAATTACCCTCTCCTCTCAATTATTAAAATTCATCTCCTATCCCCCATCCAGGGCTGGCCCTACGGAACGGGGCTGAGTTCACCATCAGTCCCTTCCTGATTTATATGGGTTTTTTAAGCTGTCTCCACACATCTGGCTTCGCATCCTAATCTTTTTAGCCTGGTCTGTCATAATCCCCTTCTTGTTTCACCATCTTCCTCAACCCTTCCCAGTCCTCCTCTGAATTGTATCTACCTCACTAGGGCTTTAAGTGTTCTGGTTTGTAATACACAATGTTTTATTAAGATCTGAATATAATATTTATTTTCTTTGATTATCCTTCCTTGTGACACTCAACAAAACTTCCTTAAATTCTGGGCCACTAATATACACTAATCTAATGTTTTCAAAAGACCATCTAAAATCACTTAGAAGCCTCTTTTATGGATCATCACTGAAGGTCAAGATACACCACCCTGTAATTATATTGTGAATTATCTTTCCCTGGATTTGTTATCTGGAGTGAAGTGGGAGACCTTATTACTAGTCCTGACTTCATCCCAGGTCCTCAAGTTCAGTAGGATCCTAGAACTCAAACCAGCTCACAGACTCAATTATTAAATATTAAGAAATTCTGTAAGATATTTGTTAAACACTGCCATTATTAAAAACTAGAGGCCTAGTGCATGAAATTCATGCGGGACGGGGAGGGGGGGGGTCTCCTCTCAGCCTGGCCTGCATCCTCTTGCAATCTGGGACCCCTCAGGGGATGCTGGGCCTAAACTGGCAGTCGGACATCCCTCTTGTAATCTGGGACGCTGCATGCACCAGTGACCATACTTTTCATACAGGTGAAAGACGTCTTGCTGTTGTATGGTCAGCTACATTTTTTTGCCCTGGTTATAAAAATTAGTACATAACATGATCCTTCTGAGGCACTAGTGCCATTTTCCCCATCTCATGGGTGGAAAAACTGAAGTAGAGAGAGAGAAGTAATTGGCTTTGTCACACAGTTATAAGTGTCAGAGTCAGGGCTGACCGCAAACTGTGCTAGCCAGAGTCCATGCATGTCATCACTGCATCATCTCAGTGTTAGAGAAGCCTTGGGAGGTTTTAATTTTTAAATCTAAGGGATTGTTCCCAATATATTGGGGAGGGTCCCTAGGCCTGGCCGGTGATTGGAGCCATCTGTGGGGCGACCCCTACTGGCACCCACTGGCTGGCCCAGCACCCCAATCACTATTGCTGCCACCACCAGTCACCTCCCTTGCGGGGGGGGGGGGGGCATCATAGTGACCGGTAGTTCCACTGTTCAGCCGATTTGCATATTAGGGTTTTATTATATAGGATTAAAATATAAACTTATCATTAAATAAACTATATATTTTAAAGGTAGCAAATATGCAAAACACTTCATAATGGTTTTACTATATCTTACTAGTATCTACCGTATTTTTCGGACCATAAGACGCTCCGGACCATAAGACACACCAGTTTTTAGAGAAGGGAAATGAAGAAAAAAAGATTCTGAAACAAATAGTGTCCTAAAATATTTTATGTGCATTAAAACCCAACATCACAGTCATAAACACATGTAATCAACCCTGTAAAGTAAACAGCAGCATTTAGAACCATTTTAGAGCCAGGCAAGCACACAGAGACCACACAGAGCCGGGCAAGTAAAAAAACTTTTTTTTTAAAGTATATGTGTAGGCTATATTTGGACCATAAGACGCAGGGACTTTTTCCCCCCCACTTCTGGGGGGGGAAAAAGTGCGTCTTATGGTCCGAAAAATACGGTATGTTCTCTTGAGGTTATTTACATCTGTGGTATGTGAATGGTGGAAATTCTTTTAATAGCTCTTCCCAACACTGCATTCAGTGACATTTTGTTCGCCTGAAATCAGCCACAGTAGCAGTATTCACACACGGAAGCCAGGAACCTCTACAAAGCGGGACTTCTCCCCCAGCGAGGTGGTTGGTAGCCATTTACAATCATACCACTGCTGACTTCCTGATGTCTAAAGTGAGGTGCTAGGTTCCAGATTGTAAAATCCTCACTGAGCCCCCAAGGCTCTGTCTCTGTGGACCTGCATTGCTAAGAGGTGGTTTCACTTTTTGGCCGAATCTAGTAACTACCTGAAACTGAATTTTTCCAGTCCTGAGAAGCTCATGAGATGTAGAAAGTGTGACATGGTTGGGTGGTTTTGAGCTCAATAACTCTGTTATTTAAAAGCATGAAAAGAAAATGTATAGATAAATCCTATTAGTTACCATCAGATAAATCCAGGCTTTTCCCTCAAGCTCCCCTTCCAAATAATTCTCTCTTATTTTTTAATTCTCAAACTATTCCTTAATTCTAAAAGACTCTGTAGTAAAAATTCAGACTTATACTGCTGGGTTTAGATTTCTATGTCACTGCACTTTTAAATAAAAGAATTCTCAAATTATGTTCTGAATATAGGAATAATTTAAAGTATTGAGTTTGTTTTATTCCATTTCTCAAATGAAGACTTCCTTCACCGGTGAATGGGAGGAAAAGCAATTATCATTTACCACGTGCTTTTTTACTTCTTTCCTGACAGCGGCTAAGGACAAGGAGAACTCTCAGTATTGCAAAGATATGGGAGTGGCAGAGACAATACAGGAAAAAGAACAGGAAAATGGTTAGGGTCCCCCAGGGAACTCCGCGCCCACTCCCAGGATTGGAGGATAGACTTGAAACATGGCCTGGCTCCTCCCCCCACCAGCACCCTCCCCAGCTTGAAGTTGTTCAGGAAGATGAAAATTGCTCCACGGAAATGAAGGGAAAGGAAGAAAAAAACAAATTAAATAAAACCTCCCCATTAAATCTAAATTCACAGTCACCTCAGTCCTCATGAGGAGCAAAACCGAAAAGTGGGTTCACGTCCCCACAGAGCTGCTGCAGCCCGGGACGTGTAAATATCTGCTTGGTTTTGCCCTCATGGTGCTGTGGTTGCAGCCGTGGGACTCGTTTATTTCATCCCGGACAAAAATCTCCCACGGAAGGCCAACATGCAGAGGACATAAAATGATCATTATTCCTCTGATCAGAAGACAAGCCCTGCACATCTGTGGATGTGGTTTGAAAAATCTCCTAAGCAATGGGCTGTGAGTCACACGGGCAGCGAGAAGCCAGGCTCCCGAAATGGAGCCCGCGAGCCCTCTTCGCAGAGAAGAGGCGCTGTGCTTGTGCCTGTGCCCGTCCTCCTCCTCCTCTCCTGGCATCCGGCCCGCCCTCCCCGCCCCACGTGCACGCACACGGCACACGCACACACACCTGACACAGAGAGCCACGCGCATCTAGCTAGCAGCCGTGCACACTCACTGACCAGGGCCGGTAACTCCTCAATATTTGGTAGTGCTATTTCATAGTGGTCTGGGAATATAACAAGTTTGGCTTCATCTTCGTATTCATAATCGTCGCTATTTAAATCGTCATCAGTATCTAGATCTGGGGAGAAAACAAAAACAAAGAACAAGACATGAAGAGAGAACGTCCCACACGAAGGCAGCACTCGCTGGGGGAGCCGGGCATCCACAGGGACCAGACCGAGGGCAGCGCACGCACACTCCCTCCTCTGACCGACCGTCCACCGGCCCAAACCTGAGGGGGAAAGGCCCTTCCCTCTGCCTAAGCTCCAAATGCTTACGTATAAGCGACAGATGTACAGAGAAGACTGAGTCACATCAGACAGCTTTACAGTTAAACCTAAGTACCAGATATCCCATTCCTAAACATGTGGAAAGGAATAGGCTGCTCATTGTGATTTGTTGGGTACCTGGTTCCTGATTTCACAAGAACAGGTTGGAATGTTTTGTCCCGACACTGTGATTTGGAAGAAAGTACATGGGTTTCGGAGTAGATAAACCTAGGTTCAGTTCTGGCTTCAAACATGAATGTTGCTTTTGGGCAAATCACAAACTCTCCAAGCCTTAGTTCCCTCATGTGTAGAACAGAGATAATAGCCCTTATCTCACACACTTGATCTGGGGGATAAATAAGAAACTGTAGACAAGCAACCTGGCACAGACCTGGTGGTCAATCATAGCAGCAGTGAAAAATAACATCTCAGTGTCCCTCTTTCTCTCCCGTGCTCTCTCCCTCCTCCACGCCTCTGAGAGTTGTTGGAACATTGGATAGTACTCCAGAGGGGAAATTCCGTAATGTAAACTGGCCCTCGGGCTGTGAGGGATTTCAGGAAGAAAGATGAGGTCCTCTAGGCTAATGTCTATCAAGTAGTCGCCTCTTTGCTTGGCAAGTCCCTGGTAAAGGTTAGGTGAAGGCCCAGGAAACATCTTGTCACAATATTTACATGGACATTTCAGCCTTGTGTTCACATGATGCCAGCAGCCCGATCATGTTTGTATATTTAGGTGTTTGGAACTATGGTGACAAAGAGCTACTGAGTCATATTCCACTCACACACACACACACACACACACACACACACACACACACACAAAGCCACACACACAAAGGTACACAAACATGGGCTCTGTCGGTTGGAGAAAGTTATTATAGTAGATAAAGCAGCTAGCTGAAAACCAAAGGATCTAGAGTCTGTTATTACCCTAATGTTTGCCTCCAGCCAAAAACCTGGTATCTCCCTGTGGACAGCTCTGCTCTTGATTCCCAAAGGGAGGGCAGTTTTAGGTAGAAAATGAGATACAGCTAAAACACAGTCTAAGGGTGTTAATGAAGGGTCCTGAATGACAAGACTCAAAAATGCCAAAGGAGATAAACAAAAACATTGTTAGATAACTATAAGAGGTTTATTTCAGAAAAAGCTGCATTAAAGAAGATTCCAGCCTGGACAGTGTGGCTCAATGGTTGGCTGTTGACCTAAAACCAGGAGGTCACAATTCGGTTCCAATCAGGGGCGCATGCCTGTGTTGCAGGCTGAATCCCCACTGGGTGGTGTGCAGGAGACAGCTGATCAATGACTTCCTCTGATCATTAATGTTTCTATCTCTCTTTCCCTCACCCTTCCTTTCTGAAATCAATAAAAATATTTTTTTAAAGATTCTAAGAGTTTAAGAAGTGACTAAAGGCATTTATTTCAGGGAAATGACTCAAAGATAGATATTAGGTGTAAAAAGATTTGAATGCCCCAATATCTATAATTAAAAAAAAAATGAAAACTTAAACATTCAATGAAGACAGTGTTCAACCCAACAGACTATTACTAAAATATTTATTTAGAATAGGTAGAAACATGAAAACATCTATGCTATGTGAACACTAAAAATACAAAATAATTTTCAGTATCAAAACAACTTTGTAGAAGTTATGCTCCTAGATAAGAACTGGAAGGAAATCTAGACAAATGAAAATAGTGAGTGGGTGAATGTTTCTCTTTAAATTTTCCTTTATTATGTTACTTATAACAATTTTAAGTAACCAAAGTACAAACCTTTTGTTTTTATGTGTAGAGTCTGCTTATACAACACTAGAATCCCAGTGCACAAAATTCATGCACGGGTACAGTCCCTAGGCCTGGCTGGCAATCAGGGCTGATCGGGGCCTTCCAGCTGCCGGCTGGGGCCTTCCGTCATTCTGCATTACTCCCTAGTGGTCAGCACATGTCATAGCGAGCAATTAAACTCCTTGTCTTCTGGTTGAACTCCTAAGGAGACACTTTGAATATTAGCCTATTATATATATCAATATTATATAGGTTCAATATTATATAGGGAAAGAGATAGATGAGAAAACATACTCATCTAATGCTAATTCAAATCTTACCTGACCAAACACAATGACAAATTAAGTCCAAGAAAATGCCACCCTGACATGTACTAGCTATGCAACGCTGGGCGAGTTCTTTCAAGTTCATTTTCCTCAGGAGTAAGCTATGGATCGTGTTCTCCACACAGTTGTTGAGAGGATTAAACAAGGTAAGGTTTTAAGGCACCTCGTACAGGAAGGACCTGGCGGGGCTACGCGGCTCCACAGACAGGAGCTGCCATCACCTCCATCATCACCATCACCAGCTTCTCTCCACTCCTGACAACATGTTCAAAAGTGCCTTCCCTTCCTTTTGGCTGCCCCCACTCCAGAGCAATCCTGGGATAAGCTTCAAGAAGACCACAATGTCATGTGGGGGTCTGCCATGTGATCTGACCGAGAAGGGCTGAACTTTGAAATGTGTGCAGACTAAGCTTCAAGAGCAGGGAACAGGTCACCTTTCATGTCCCCAGTCCCTGCACACACCATCCATCACACACTCAGTAACTGTGTGTGAGAGGAGACTAAGAAGTTAAAACTCCACCAGGTTAAGGACAACAGCAAAGCAAGAGCATCTGAAGGGTTGCTGCAGTTTGGGTTTTTTCTTTGGTGATTGACGTGTGTTTTATAAGAAACAAGACTGATGTCATACAAAACAAACAAACAACAAACAAACAAAGCAGAATTTTGTTGGGCTTCTTAGCACTTTTATTTTTAATTCAATGGAATGAGAAGGGACCATGATATTTCCCCAAACATCTTAATCCAAATTAGAGAAAGTCAACGGAAAGAACCTACACTCCGATTTTAAGGGACAAACCTAAGGTTTCTCCTGAATATGGATGACCCCACAATCCTAGGTATAAATCTATTTCCAATTTCACTAATTAGAGTCTCACCACCCCAAAAATATCCAGTTGAGAAACCTACAGAGTAAGCATGCCCTACGGACCAATAGGACTGGGACCCCCATCTCCCCCCCAACAGTCACTTCCCATCATGACTAATAACTGGTAATGCCTGGATGGGCTCTTTTCCTAAGTTAAAAAAAAAAAAAAAAAACACCTTTTTTGCCCTAGCCAGTCTGGCTCAGTGGATAGAGCATAGGTCTGTGGACTGAAGGGTCCCAGGTTCAATTCCGGCCAAGGGCGCATACCTCAGTTGCAGGCTTGATTCCTGGCTGGGCGGCAACCAATGGATGTGTCCCTCTCACATCAATGTTTCCCTCTTTCTCTGTCTCTCTCCCTTCCTTCCACTCTCTCTAAAAATCAATGGAAAAATATCCTCGGGTGAAGATTAACATAGATAGATAGATAGATAGATAGATAGATAGATAGATAGATAGATAGATAGATAGAATGCACAAATCTCTTTAAAAAAAAAAAAAAATACCATTTCCCCAGCTCTACTTCATCGATCCTCTCAGATCCCTGGAGAAGTGGCTGAGACCACACCCATTTCCAGAAAGTAGCTTGCCTAAAGTTCCAAGCAGCAAGTGAGGGACAGGTCCCTAAGGAAAACCAGGGCTCTGAACCCAGCTCAGCATCTTCCCGGCCTGACCACAATGCATGTGCTGGAGATGGCCAGTCTGGCTGCTCCAACACTGTGAAATCAGACCAGCCATTTACCCTCAAAGAAGGGGGAGTGTGGGGAGAGCTCCTGAGTGCAGACCCTGTTCCGTGACTGGCTTCAGAAGGAAAGGCTGCATGGAATCCACTAGAACCTTCTGGTCATGAAAGGCACAGGGGAGTTTTCGGAACAGGCCCATTCCTGGGCCTCTTCCCAAATGCTCTTTTTTACAACCTGTTTCTCATCAAGTATGAGTGCCATGGCTAAAGCAAAAAAAATGGACTTAACGCTCTCTGAGGTTGAGGTAGCTCTGAGAAGTCCCAGCCTCAGACACAAAGACCCTACCTTACTCATTCACTCTGCTTTTTGAACGTTAGGGGGAGGAGTGCTTAATTCAAATAGGGGAATATTTAACGCTTTTTTTATGACATGCCAAATATATGGTATTTTTATGAAATGCATTAGCAATTATTCATACACATTTTAGCTTTGTTATAAAAATTATATAAGATTAGGCCAGAGTCACATCCCAAGTCCTGAGATATTTCTTTGAAGATCTCAGTCTCCTTTACATCTGCTCTTCTCTTTTTTCTATCTCATGAAACAACACATTTTATATAAGCTTATTGCCAAAACTCACAATCTATCATATCGTGGTAAGTTATCTTCCCATTACAGTGTTCCTTTCTCACTTGAAACATGAACGCAGAGCCACCCGCACTTTCTCAATTCTCAGCATCCCAGCAATTTTCACACAGCAGCAGGAAGCCAAGAAAAGCCTAATAGTTCTGTTTACTCAGTAGTTACATCCAAACAACTTAATTAAGTATTTATGTTCTAACTACTTACTGAAAAAAATGATACACATATTGTACATTGAAAGGAAAAAATGTTCTATTTCATTCTTAAATAACACAATTCCTTACTTACAGGGTGCATACACAATTTCTCTTTGTATCAGACTGGATGCTGCCTCCTTTTTGCCCATGCCACATTTATTTTCACATGGTATTTGCCTTTTACCACAGAAACCACCAAAAAGCCAGCTTCACAAAGAGATGAAGTCATTGGAAGGAATACTGGATACTCCAATAGTGAAACTACAAGAGCTAATGGTCCATGCACTGTTCAAGCATCACTGTGTTCCCCGAAAGAGTTAAAGCATCCTGAGGTGCACCTATGAGCCTGCCACAGCACCCCAGGGTGCCTCAGAGCACAGTTTGGGAACCAAAAGCATTAATGGCTCACCACTGCCTATAGAAAAAAATCTAAAAGTATGGTATATGTACAGACTATCACGGGAAGAATATACAAGATATATAAGGACGTGCAGGCGAAAATTCTACTTGTCTCTGGAGAGACTAACCAGGGAGCTGGGAGACACGGAAGGGAAAGAAAGAAACTTACTCTTCATTATAGAGACACTTACAACTTTGCAAATTTAAGCTTTGTTATACTTTCAAAATATTTTTTAATCCTAAATGCAAAAAGAAGCATAAAATGAAAGTGATTCAAATGTTACCCATAGTTTTCATTATTGGTTAAAAAAAATAATAATAACAGCCAAAACTAGAGCTGAGGGAAGAATCCTTAGCTGTGATTTCATTGATGAACACCAATGTAATCAGAAGAGTAACTTGACTACTGAGGGTAGGACAGTGCTCAGGAGACTTGGGGGTAAGTCATTCAGCACTGGTTAATGGCCTCAGTTTTCCTCATAAAATCAATACTGAAGGTCACAACTGAATGATTCAGTGGTTTCAATGTGACTGCTGAACCACAGGAAGAGGAATTAGTCACAAATCAAGGGGATGTGGATAAAAGCCTCCCTCTAGGAGAGTTAGTCATCTGCCTCTGCTCATGAGAGAAAGGGCATCCTACTTCCATTTCAACAGCAGCGGGAAAGCACTTTCTGTTCAAAGGAACAAGAGACCGCAGGAGAGTTCTGGTTCTCTTCCTCTCCACGAAGAGACAACCCCAATGTCCCTTCTAGGGAAGGAATCTGTGGCAGAAGCTACTCGCTGCCCCCCGGTATCCATGCTCCCCTTCTTGCCTAGTAACAGGATTTACTTAATGTTAACGTAGTGTTAAAAATTAACTTAATTTTTTCCATAACACATGTATGTTACTGTTGTCATACAAAGACATCTCCACTATTTGAAAAGGAAAACCATTGGACACAGTCATAGAGCTGAGTTTCGACAACACTAACACTTTACTGTCCAGTCTGCTGTGCAGCACCTGGCGTGGCCCTGTGTCCAAGTTCTGACCAAACTGAGAGGCGCAAACTGAAGTGCTGCTGAGGAGCTGGGAGAAAGCTGACAAAAAGAAGTGACTCCTTTGGGAGATTAGACTTTTATCCTTCTCCCTCATCTTCCCTGCTTTCCAGACTGGAGGCCCAGCAGCCATTCTGCACCGGGAAGTAACCATGAGGATGGAAATCACAGGCCAGGATGGAGGGCGGAGCAGAAACATGGGAAGAGTTTAGATTCTAATAGAACATGAGGCGGTCCCATCAGCGTGGACGCATCTTGTGTCTCCTGAGGTATGGACGGTGAGTGAACACAAGGCAGCCTGTAGACAGGTCCCACCAAAATGAGCTGGTTGGGGAGGGCGCCCGGGAAGCTGTGAGAGGGCTCCACACCGAATGAAACACAAAACCTCGGTGCTTGTCTTTGGATTCATTTTTTAAAACAGTTACTTGGCAACACCGTCTACCACCAAAATGATCACTAAAGAAATCAAACCCCGAAGACTGTTGAGTAAAAGAAACAAAGTTCAAGGACTAGATAGTGAATCAAAGCAGGAAGAAACTCAGCTCTATGACTGTGTCCAATGGTTTTCCTTTTCAAATAATGAATACGTCTTTGTATGACAACAGTAACATACATTTGTTACGGAAAAAAACTAAAAATAAATAAGCAAACAGAGGAACATAAAAATCACCTCAATCACACCACCAGAAGAAAGCTACTTTGAACAGTTAGGAGTATATTCTGCCAGACTTCCACACCCGCAGTCATATATGCATACATGTGTGTGTTAACGTACATGTATACACACGTGTTTGCATAAATATATGTACACACATATATGGCTATGCATGCACATATACAGGCATATTTATATATACACGATGGTGCAAAAGTAGAAGTAGATTTACAGTTGTGAGTACATGAAAAAGAGTTTATTCTTGTATTATTATTTATTAATTATTGTATTATTTCCAAGACAAACAATTGTATACAGATATATGAGTGTATACACTTTTTTTCCCCACCAAAATGGAACTGCAATATGCAGATAACTTTGTTTGAAAGAATTTCTTTCAAACACTAATCCCAGGCATTTAGGGATTTTAAATTGCTTGACCAAGCATTATCAAACCATTTTTTCTCCTGGACAACCAAATCAGAAGCGCAGTATGACATACGATCATGATAACATGATATTAGAAACCATTACTCATTTGCATAAGCAAAGCTAGCTCTTCTGAAGGAGGGAGAGATCAAATCACTGCTAGTCAAATACCACAGTAATCACTGCGCAGGCAAGATCCACTGATGGATGATAAAATCAGCGGGCAAAACCTTGAGGAGAAATGAGTTATTAGCATAGTCTCCAACTATCACTCACAGCACATTTATTAGTTACACTGCAGCTTTACAGCGAAGAAGCCCGCCAGACACCCCTCAATAAGTGATCAGGTTGACATCACCTGTATGAAGACATCCTACGCTCCTGATGTCACGCAAAAGAGGACACATCACTCTGTGGTACTCTTGCCAAAAATGCATAACCTCAGACTTATCATAGGGTCACATCAAACAAGCCCAACCTGAGGTCCATTCTACAAAATAACTGGCCACTGCTCTTCACACAGGTCATGACTATTAAAGATGAAAAGAGAGTGAGGAACCACCACAGATTCGACAGGGTTAAGGAAACATGAGGTTCCGGAACACAAAAGGACACTAGTGGGAAAAACGGCGAAACCTGAGCAAACTCTGTAGTTTGGCTAATATTAAAATATGAAAACTTCCTCTTTTTTAAAAGCAGTTGGGGAAAAGACCAAAGGCAGAATTGCAGTTACTCTCCGGGCCCCGTAAGCGTAACTGCTTCAAAACACTAACCCGCCAAAACCGGTTTGGCTCAGTGGATAAAGAGTTGGCCTGAGGACTGAAGGATCCCGGGTTCGATTCCGATTAAGGACGTATGCCTTGATTGCAGGCATATCCCCAGTTGGGTGTGTGCAGGAAGCAGCTGATCGATGATTCTCTCTCATCGATGTTTCTAATTCTCTATCCCTCTCTCTTCCTCTTTGTAAAAAATCAATAAAATATATTATAAAAAACAAAAAACACTAACCCGGCTAGAGTGCTGACATCCTTCACCACCAGCTAAACATGAGACAGGGTCAGCTCATCTCAAGTTAAACTGGTTCCACTCGTCCTTATCTTATAGATCAACAAATAGCCTGTTACTCCAAATGAAGCATACACATGCACACACACATATGTGTATACACACACAATTATCTGGGCACATGACTGATAAATATGCACATTACCTAAAAAAATCTTGGAATTCCTCCTTTTGGGTAAAGCTCCACCAGATGCACCTTTTACTTTCTGAAAAGAAAAAAAAGAAATTGTTAAAATGCAGCCCATGAAATAGACTAGTAAGGGTGGGGGAGGGTGGGGAAGGGTAGGGGAAGAGTACATCTCAAAGGTTCCCAGATTTTATAAAAATCCAGAGGAAATATTCAACTTGGACTAGAGAATGCCGGATAAACAGGAACTTGACCCAGGTCAATGGGGGTCAGTGAAGGGCAACGCTATTGTTCCACCTGACTATTTTCACCGAGCTGTGCCGAAAGCACGCTGGAAAGGGAAGTGGAGCCAGGCATCAAAGCGAAGTAGATGCTCCAGCTCCCAATGGGCACATTCTCCCAGGAGGCGGGGCCACGCCCAGCGCGGAGGGACTCTGGATGGATGGCGCCTCCAGAAGGAAGGCTCTCGTTCCCCTGCTTCCTACCAGGTCCCCAGCTGTTGGAGCCTGCCAACAATTATTGTTGAAAGACTTAATAAATATTAATCTATAATCACTGAGATTCGGTCCTATTGCATCAATCTAACCTCCTTAAACATTTCTGGAGCACTGCAGCTGGCTATGTCGTGCATTTTTCTAACACAGAAGTCCCCAGCAGCAATGAAATAAACACCCATCCAGAGTTCATGCAAAAGAGGCCATGCGTTACCCTCTAACACTCACACAGAATATTTTACTCTCAAATGGGATTATAGAAATGTTTGTTTCCAAGGGCCAAAGCAACATCTCCATAGTGCATGTTCTTTCAACAAATAGAAGAGAGCACGTTTCCAACACTCGGAGGGGTGCGGGTCGAACCCCGATGCCTTTTCCCATGGTCACATGTCACAGCCTCGCTGCTGCTTCAGTTTGTGCCGTTCTTAGTGTTAGGTCTCCTTTCCCACGTTGTTTCATCTGGCATTGAAGGCTGACTCCTCTTTGTGTTTCTCACATTATGTTTTTAGAGCTTGTAGTGTGAGTTTCTAGTTCACATTTTTAGGAATGTGAAAATCGTTAAACACTTTGTAGCTCAGACACCTGTCTCCCTAATACTAATGCCAAACTCACGTCACTGTCTTGGATTCCCTCTCCTTCACGGTCTCAAAGCCTCTGGTCCTCTGCCCTCCACTTACCTGCCTCGAAAAGGCAGGAAAAGAAAACTTTACTGAAGGCACGTTTAACAGTCCTGGCGGTCACTGAAATATCTCTATAAGTTCATGGCATTCTTCCTTCAAACTTACCGCCTTCAATAATATATCATAAGAAAGAAAGAATAGTTCTCCTGGAGGTGGAAGGTGTGGTCAGCGGACTCTACTGTATAGCAGTGGACTCTACTGTATAGCAGCTGCTCAGCAAGTATTTGTTGGATGGATGATGATGGATGATGGATGAATGGATGGTTGATAGGTGGATAGATAGATGATGAACAAATAGTTAGATATGCTAACCACAGGAAGGCAACAGGTAAAAGAGGAGTGGGGGGTAGAAGTAGAGCATCCCAGACCAAAAAAAAATGTAGAATGGCATGAAATCAATGTGTCCCTAGAAGAAGTGGTTTGCTATGGCTAAAGCACAAAGCTGGCGGAATAAGAGTGAGTGTTAGAAAGGCCACATGGAGGGCCTTGTAATCATGTGCAAACGAGTTTGGGCTTCATCCTGCAACAAAGGGAGAGACATCAGAGATTTCAGCCAGAGATGCACAGATCAGTCTGGGTGCAGCATGCAGGCTGGGTGGGCTGCAGGCTGGTCAGGAAGCTGCAGCACCGGTCCCTCAGGGAGTAATGAGCACTCAGACGAGAACAGGCGTGCAGAGGACAGGACGGGCTTCAGAGCTATTTGGGAACCCAGATAACAAGACTTGGTCACCAATCAGTCATGGGCTGAAAGCAGGATCCAAATGATGTCTAGGTCTCCAGCATGCAAGACCAAGGACAACTCTGAGAAAGAGGATAGATAACTAGTTCAGTCAGAGGTGTTTCGAGTAGAAAAAGCCAGGTCAAAGTCGGGTGGCCAGGTCTTTGGCTCTGGAGAGAGCTGATCTGGAGGCATCAGCTCAGAGACGGTGGTTAGACACAGACGGTCGGAACAGTGAGGAGGAGGAGGGGCAGCTTTCAGAGAAAGAAGACAGGAGGGTCAAGCAGAATACTAGGAAATGCTGATGACCAAGGGGCAAATGAAGAAAGTGATGCTACTGCAAGAGTGAGGAAGGGCGACCTGAAAGGCAGGATGACAGAAGGGAAGAATGGTGCCCAAGAAAGCAAGAAGGAGCAGTTGCAAAAGAAAAACAAGTTCAGCAGAAACCGGTTTGGCTCAGTGGTAGAGCGTCGGTCTGCAGACTGAAAGGTCCCAGGTTCGATTCCGGTCAAGGGCATGTACCTTGGTTGCGGGCACATCCCCAGTAGGAGGTGTGCAAGAGCAGCTGGTCAATGTTTCTCTCTCATCAACGTTTCTAGCTCTCTATCTCTCTCCCTTCCTCCTCTCTGTAAAATATCAATAAAATATATTAAAAGAGAGAGAGAGAGAGAGAGAGAGAGAGAGAGAGAGAGAGAGAGAGAGAGAGAGAAAGAAAAATAAGTTCAAATGCTCAAAACATCACATAAAATCAGGGCTAAAATATGTCCACCAAGAGTGACACCAAAGAGGTCACTGACACCGTCGCAGTTGTAATGGGTTGACAGGAGATCAGACTGCAACGTTGAACTTAGAGGGAGATGTAGTCGAGGTGATGAGAATAGAAAATTTCTTTAAAAAGCTTCAATTAAAGGATGGGGTGACTAAAGGAGGACACATAAGAGGGACAATTTTGTGGTGTGTACTTTTTTTTTTTAATCCTCACCAGGGGATATGTTTTTTCTATTTTTCTGATTATTTTAGAGAGAGAGGAAGGGAAGGAGGAAGAGAAACATCAATCAGTTACCTCCCATATGAGCCCCCACCAGGGAATGAATCCGAAACAGGCCTGTGCCCTGATCAGGAATTGAACCCACAGCGTACTGGTGTATGGGACCACACTCCAACCAACTGAGCCACCCGGCTGGGGCGTGGTGTGTTCTTTTTTAAGATAGGAGAATAAACAGCCAGAAGAGGGAGTGGTCGGGGGGTGTCGGAGGGAGTGGAGTGAATGAAGGAGCAATGTCCCAGGTTGGAGGAAAGAGGACTAGGAGGACAGAGAGAACACAGCTTTCTGCTGAGATGGAGGGACTGGATGCAGGTGAGTTCCCAGGGGGCAAGAAAGGAGCTCGAGGAGTCCCTGTCCATGGGGCCCTTGTTTTCTCAGGAAAGTACAAGCCAAATCCTTTCCCGAGAATCAGGAGGGAGGAAGGCATCTGGAGTCTGGAGTGGGAGCGGATACAGACTAGGTCTGCTGAGCAGTGATGGGCCCAGCAGAGGGGGAGGCCAGAAACAGGACGGGTCCAGACCCCGTGCAGTGCAGGCTCCCAGCAATGTGCGCAGGAAAGCAGAGGATGATGCCAATGCCACGACCAGTAGGAGTTCTGGAGGACAATTAGGGAGGCAAGATATGGGGGTGAGGGTCAGTGGAGGGTACTGGGGATAATGGAATGTTTAAAACCAGGGATCCTGGGGGGCTCTTTCCCGTTCCCCATGTGGGAGTCTGTACTTGTTCTTCAATAAATCTCCACCTTTGCTATAAAAAATAAATAAAAAATAAATAAATAAACAAACAGGGATCCTGATACGCAGGCTCACCAAGCAGGGAAGGGGCTGCCCGGGCATGTCACAGGCCCAGAGCTGTCAGTGGGAGAACAGCAGATCCACATCAGATAAGTGAGTAGAAGAGCTAAGCCAAGAGAGGGTTGTGGTCAGAGTGAACTATTCAACCTAACATTTCGGAGACAGAGCTAGCTGTGTAAGACTCCCAGCATCCTGCAATCCTGCCACTGCCTCTGCGGCTGTGAGCAAGCTACTTCAAGTCTCTGGGCCTGTTTCACTTGCCCACCCCTCTGTTTTATAAAATCCATCACTTTATACTAAGAAATGTGTGGAACAAAGCAGACTGCACAAGAACTTCTGTGTCCCGACTGAGGGGAGTAGTAAATGTAAGTCATGCAATATTAGGCCAACATCATCACTGAGTTAATGGCTTATCTGACCTCCTGGCCTTTCTCCTCCTCTTCCCCCTACTGTCCCCACGGTCTAATTTTGGGATCTCTCCTCACTGTCCAAAATAAACAGAGGGCATGTTAAGTAGGCTAGGGGGAGAGATTACATGAACTTCAACTCAACACTGATGAGTTAGAAGATCCAAGATAGTCTACAAACTATTAGGGCTACAGTGAAAGTTGAACAAATACTGCTAAATATAAAATCAACATCTGAAAATTAATAACAATCCCCAAGCACCATTGATAACATTAAAATGCATAAAAAAAATAAAAGACAGCAGTTATAATAGTTACAAAAATTACAGAGACCCTTTTAAAAAGCTAACTAACTATAACTCCTTTACTGAAAATTCCCAAATATTGTTGAAGGACATAAAGGAGCCCTGAATAAATAGGAAGGTATGCCATGTTGAATAATCATTCAATTAATATTACAAAGCACCTAGGGCTGAGGACACAGAAGTGAACAAAACAGACAAAAATACCTGTCCTCGTAAAACTAACACAATGACGTGGGTTATAGCTTCATCTACTTAATGAATTCAATCCTGATCAAAATCGCAACAGGATTTTTAAAACTAGATGAACTGATTCCAAAATCCACAAAGAAAAATCAGTGTCAAAAACCAGGGAAGGCCGAAACCGATTTGGCTCAGTGGACAGAGCGTCGGCTTGAGGATTGAAAGGACCCAGGTTAATGAGGACAATTATGTGATACCATAATCAATAATTTTCTTAAAAAAATTTTTTTAATAAATAAATAAATAAATAAGAAAGGTCCCAGGTTCGATTCCGGTCAAGGGCATGTACCTCGGTTGCAGGCACATCCCCAGTGAGGGGTGTGCAGGAGGCAGCTGATAGATGATTCTCATCGATGTTTCTAACTCTCTATCCCTCTCTTCCACTCTGTAAAAAATCAATAAAATATTTAAAAAAAAAAAAAAACAGGAAAGTTCTGTGAGAAATTTACACGGAAACAGTGCTTGCATTACCAGATGTCAGGCTTGTCGCACCAATGCAGAGATAAAAAATAAGATCAGCAGGAAAGGACTGAGCCCCCAAACAGGCCCAAGTGGTGATGGTGAGTTAAAATTTTTTTTTTTTTAATGGCTCTGCAAGTCCCTGGGAAAGGCTACACAGCTCTCGAAATAGTGGGACAGCTGGCTATCGACATGGAGAATAACGTGTATTTCCCCACACTCACAGAAATATAAAAATAACTTGTAGGTGATTAAAGACCTAAAACATTAAACTATACACACACTTCTAAAAAAGTAAAAGTATTAAAACAAATATCTGCATGATTTGAGTTGGAAAACAATTTCTCAGACACAGTACAAAAGAACACAATTTGTAACAAATGTTTAGTACATCAAACTTCAAAAATTCTATTCTATAATTCATAAACAAAGCAAAAAATTGCTCAGCTGGTGTGGCTCAGTGGCTGAGCATTGAGCTATGAACCAGCAGGTCGAGGTTTGATTCCCAGTCGAGGTACATGCCCAGGTTGTGGGCTTGGTCCCCAGTGTGGGGTGTGCAGGAGGCAGCCAATCAATGATTCTCTCTCATCATTAGTGTTTCTGACTCTCTCTCCCTCTCCCCTCCACTCTGAAATAAATAAAAATGTATTTAAAAAACAACAAAGCAAAATGTTTTTTTTATCTAGAATGTGAGAGAGAAAAAACTTTTAAGAAAAAAGATAAGCCAGTAGAGAAATAGATCAAAAATATAAATAGGCAACTCAGAGAAGAGGAAACCAGAATGCCCAATAACCATACAAAGATGTTTATCTCTCCCAGAAGGAAAGGCCAAATATTTAAGATGTTACTTCACAACCATGAGATTGGCAAAAGGAAAAGTCTGAGCAAATGTGAGGCTATGGAAATCAAGACAGGAGTATAAATTGGTACAACCAGTCTCGGGGAGAACTTGCAAATATCAAGGAGAAGCACGGCCACAAGCCAGCATTATCGTTCTACATAGATTTTCTTAAAAGATCTTGCACATGTACTCTCAGGAGAAAAAGTTGAAAATGTTAATCGTTGCATTGCTAATAGAAGCAACAACAAAAAATAGAAACAATCTAAATGTTCATTAATAGGAGAATAGAATAATAAGTGACAAGGTAGAAAAATTAGTAAAATGACTTAAGTACGGCCAAATGCATCACAACATGAACAGATTCCAAAAACAATGTTGAAAGGGAAAGCTTTCCACAGATTCACAGGCAACAGTATGATAGTATTTATCTGCATCTTTAAAACACACAGTCATTCCACATATAGAAGGTGAGTGCCTATAATAAACAGTGACATGCATAGGAGTGAGAAACAACAAATTCACAGCTATGGTTACTTCTAGGAAGTGATGGAAACAGACAGGAGAAAATGAATCTGAAGCAAAAGTATCCAAATATTTTTATTTTGATTTTTAGATCCATGCGTGTTTCTACTATTATTTTCTGAGTTGTTTTTTTTTTCCAACCCATATCTTCTTAACTCCAAGCAGAGGTTCAGAGGGAGAGAGAAATAAAGCTGGGTAAGGTGATATTTGGGGGGAATCTACGACTTCCTACAGACAATCCTATTGCTGTGTCCCGTCATCGAGGAGGCTCAGACATTACGTGGACACAGTAAAGTCTCCACGCGATTCACACACTAAGACCACGTCACAAGAAAGATACCAAGGCAGTTCTCTCACCTCTCGCACATGTCTTTTCAGGTGCATGTATACACTCTGTCCAGTTTTTCGAAAATGTCTTTCAACGTGTTCCCTTCCAAAGGCCAGAAACGTATTCATGCAAACATAGAGTCCGCCTTCAGAATTCTAGAAGAAAGAGACAGGTTACAACATTAGCCAACAACGCCTCACCGAGGAGTCTAGATTCAGAGTAAGGGAAGGGGAAGGAGGGCGAGTGATGAAGACAAAGCCTGGCAGGGCCACCTGGCTGCCAGTCACTGCGGTGGCCCCAGTGGCTCCACGGCCGCCCCAGCCCGGGTTCCAGTGCTCCGGACAACTAAGCACAGTCTCGTTGTGTGAGATCCTCAGAGGCCCGGGCGAGGAAACGTGTTTGTCTGACTCTCCAAACCAGGGTAAATGACAATAAGAGACAGAAGAAAATGGGCGATCCAACTACCATCACTCAAGGCTACTTCCTCATCTGTCAATGCAGCCTCCAGGAACATGCACTTTCCTTTCAGCAGCACCAAGATCTTCAAAAAAAATTATTATTATTATTTTTTTGTAGTTGTTAATTCTCACCCAAGGATATATTTCCATTGATTTTTGGAGAGAGTGGAAAGGAGGAGGAGAGAGAGAGAGAAACATCGATTGGTTGCCTCCCACAGGAGCCTGGACCAAGGCTGGGGATCCAGCCTGCAACTGGGGTATGTGCCCTTGACTGGAATAGAACCCGGGACCCTTCAATCCGCAGGACAATGCTCTGTCCACTGAGCCAAACCAGCTATGGCAAGATATTATTCTTTGAAGATATGATTTTTGATGGTATCCATTGATAAGTTATAATAATTTAATACATAAATAATAATTTAATAAGTAAGTGCTAGAGGGTGGAGTCCTATAATAATCATAACTACATGCTATTGCAGGCCTACGATGTGCCAGGTGCTTTACATATATTATGTCTAATCCAAACAATACTGCAAGCTGCTTATTATTATTTCCACTTTAAAGGTTTTGTTTTGTTTTTTTAAACTAAGGATAAGTTGCTTGCCCATGTTCACACAACTTGGGAGTGTCAGAGTTAAATCTGAATCTTTTTATCTCTCTATGCAATATTTCAAATATTGTTTCATTATAGACATACTGCTACAAGGAATAGTCAAAAATATTTATTCACATTTTAGATACTTGAGTTTCTATCCTAGTCTCATCTCCCCTTTTCTCTCAATCTGCTTAACATGCTTCCCTGTAAACTTAGCATCTAAAATTAGCCACTTTGCCCCAGTGGGAGTGAATTTTTATTAAGATCCTTTTAGTCACACCCCTGCAAACAAAACAAAATGCTTAAATGCCTGTCAGAATTGCCAACGAACTTCTATCAAAATTCCTTACATTGCATTTTTTTATTGTTATTGAATGTGATATGGTTAATAAAATTATATAGGTTTCAGATGTACGATTCTATAACACATCACCTGTATGTTATATTGTGGGTTCATCACTCCAAGTCAAGTCTCCTTTCATCATCATTTATTTCCCTCCCCCTTTATAATGTCGAAACATACACTCATTACCAATATATGAAATATAATTTTCAAAGTTCTAACAGCTCAAGATAGGCTTTTAAATTTTTTCTAATAAAATCTTTCAACACTGTATCTATGGTTTATAAGCCAGACATAACGTTTTGACACAAAGAGAACATTATAGCAGCACTGGTTCACACAGGTGCATATCACTGTAGCAAATACACTGCAGAAGTCAAGGAGGGGAAAAAAAACATAAGAATGACGTTATAGTCTATATGGAAAATCCTAACAAATATACAAACAACTAAAAATAACAACTAGTGAAACTAATACATGAATTTAGCGAGGCAATAGGGTAATTAAATAGACAGAAATCAGTTTCAACTTTATATTCTGGCAACAAATACTTTCAAATGAAATTTTTAAAACTTGATTGTAAAATAGCCAAAAACCTCAGAATTTTATAGCTTGTGCTTCTGGATACATTTTTTCCCTTAAATGAGATCATTTGAATAAAATTAGAAAAGTTCTTCATATTATATTCATTTTATCAATAAGTTAGGTAAATCTTTTCAAAAGATTTTTTAAATAATAAACATATTCTTTTGCATAATCATAACTCTTAAGAAAAATATTACTTCAGCCGAAACTGGTTTGGCTTAGTGGATAGTGCGTCGGCCTGCGGACTGAAGGGTCCCAGGTTCGATTCTGGTCAAGGGCATGCACCTTGGTTGCGGGCACATCTCCAGTAGGGGGTGTGCAAGAGGCAGCTGATCAATGCTTCTCTCTCATCGATGTTTCTAGCTCTCTATCCCTCTCTCTTCCTCACTGTGGAAAATCAATAAAATATATATATTTTTAAAAATATTACTTCATCATAATGATTAGTTATATTCATTAATCCTATTACATTGAGCAACACATGTTATGATTTTTTTTTTAAACTTCCATTCTGTTCCAATAAAATGTAATTCTGTTCAAAAGAAGGACAACCAGAAGATATACCAGGGAAACTAAGGCAGGTTGTTATGCAGGCTCTGCACTTCGGTATCTGCCTCTGTACCAATAATCCCCTTCTCACGGGGTTTCATGAAGGTCAAAGAAGACAAAACACATTCTGTGCTGTAATGCATTACATAAATGTTGGTAATTATTCGTTATAAGCTAAAAGTTCTGTGTGCTGCATGCATTTATCTCAATTATTTTATAAGGGGGGAAGAAGCAAGCAGATGGAAGAAAAAAGGGAATCTGACCGCTCCCCAGACTAGTGGTAACCAATGTTAATGTCAGAAAAATATATTAGGCAATTAGCAGAAGAACCAAAAAAATTACTAAGCAGAAGAAAAAAAGGTTTAATTGTAAACTAGCTACATAATGCAAGAGTTTATAGTTTCTAAAATAATTATAAAGTCTGCTAATTTCATTGCCATGAGTGTTTTACTTATTAGGGCATTTGATAAAAATTTAATATGCCAAATATTCATTCTCAATTTCTGGAGTCACTTGATATTGTCACAAAGTCCATAATCAAAGAGAAATAGGCTTTGGCACTCAGACAAATGGCCGCACATAGGAAAGGATTCTATGACAGACTCCCACAGGCTTCTTCCATCACACACGGGCTGACCTCTGAGGCAGCGAATGCCCCTCTGCCAGCAGCTGAGATGGAGACACCATCCAGGGAACTTGACAATAATTCTAAACACTCAGGACACACTAAGACACAAAACACCTTCAAAGGTACCCCGTACAGAACAAACCCGGCAGTCTAATGAGGCACACTTTCTTCTCTCTTGCCTTACTAATGTCTAAATATTGGTCTCATAAAGACACATTATTTCACATCCACGGTCAACGCTCCATGCCAGGTACAGCTTCACTACTGAGGACAAGCCTGCTGACAAATCTCTCCCAGTTCCTTTGTGACCACAGCACAGAGAACGGTTTGTAGCCTGAGATGAGAGATAAGCTGACTGACTCTTGAGGTTTTTGAACCTTCAACCCCATATTCCCATGAACCAGCCACTCCTCCACTAAAATTACTGCTTCAGGAAAGCACCATAAAGCATCTGCCTTCCTGAGGCCCAAAGTGCAGCAAGCAGTCAGGCAGGGCCTTCTGTAGGACAGGCACTGAGTTAAAACTGGGAAAACGAGGCTTCCATCGTGGCTTCCGTAATGATGCCAGCAGCATGTACACAGAAGATAAGTAACTTAGTAGACAGTCAAGACTAGGTAGGGCGAACCTTTTTCTTAATGTCCAATGTCCTTTGTCTTAAGAGTTCGTGCAATATGTCTTCAAAAGAAAATAAAAATTAAACAATTGTTTTAATCAGGCAGGTATAGGGAACTGTACTAACAGTGAAATACAACTCAAAGAATATGAGGAAAGAAGTCAAAATGATATATTTTTTTCAAGTCACGGTCGTAGAGTGCTTTATTAAAGAGATTACAAATGACATTTCTATATATTGGGTTAACTTTTGGAATAAATCGTGGCATAACAATGGAGATTCAAGAAAAATAAATTCATTCCATATGGCAAAAACTCTTAGTATGTCAAACCCAAAGAATGAGGGGGAAATCACTAATCAAAGTTACTCCAGAATTTAATCTAGATCCACATCTTACACCAAACACTATAATAAGGTTCAGACAGATCCAAGAGATCACATTTTAAAAACTAGGAAAGAGAAGAACAGCATGTTTATCCCCCTGGTAAAGGGGAAATAACTTCTAAACAAAAAATATAGACTCACAAAAGAGATGGCGTAGCTGGGAACAAATATATAAACACTAATAACAAGTTTGACACCACAAAATATAATGAACCAAATAAAGACCAACAATAACAGCATGGGTAAAGCTGTAAAGGACAATGAAGAAAAAAGCTTACATGCAAACTACGTAAAACTGATAAAATTACAAGATGTCAACATCCAGGTTCAACTTGGTAAGAGTTTTTTTTTCAGATTATTTAATTTTACCGAAACCGGTTTGGCTCAATGGATAGAGTGTCGGCTTGGGGACTGAAGGGTCCTGGGTTCGATTCCGGTCAAGGGCATGTACCTTGGTTGCAGGCATATCCCCAGTAGGGAGTGTGCAAGAGGCAGCTGATTGATGACTCTCTCTCATTGACATTTCTAACTCTCTGTCTCTCTCTCCCTTCTTCTCTGTACAAAATCAATAAAATATATTTTTTTTAAAAAAATTTTTTAATTTTACAGGTGAGAAAATATTAAATTCAAATCATCACATCCTCGCCACTCCTGAAGTAAGCTCATTAAAACAACTTCCAGGCGAGTGTACTAGTATAAGCCTACTAAACTAATAAAAAGCATTATAATTGCACAGCCTGGAGACACAGAGAAGTCTGTGCATCGATTCTGACAATAGAAATTGATTCTGTCTTTCTAAAGAGCAGTAAAATTGTGACCTTTGACACAGTATTTCACCTTTGGGGACAGATCCCAGGGACTCAATAGAAATAGAAAAAAAAATTTTGTTTAAAAATATTCTCAGATATACTATTTAAAACTGGAAAAGTTAGCAATGGCCTCAAGTAGAGGAGCTAAGAACATGTGACATATAAACACAATAAAATACTTTAACCTTATTTAAAATGCTGCATGTATGCATTATGTGTAATGTGTGTAGAACATAGGCATAGAATTGTGCATAGGAAAATAATGTTTATGAAAAAAAAGAGCACATGCTGATGACAAGGAGGAAGGGGACGAGGGGAAGGTGAGTCTGGACTTTGATGAAGACTGAACTGAAAATGGGATGTGATAAGTGGTTGTAGATTATTTAAGTCCTTGCCGTTGGGGCCCACAGCCTCACTCCCATTACCTCCACGCTCAATGTGAGAGAGAAACATTGATCAGCTGCCTCCTGAGCATAACCTAACCAAGGCTCAAACCCGCAACCTAGTCATGGGCTGTGCCCCGGAATCAAGCCCACAACTGTTGGCTGTAAGAAATGACACTCCAGCCAACTGAGGGCCAGCACCTCCAGTGCTGTTTCTCAAACCACAATTGTGAAGGAGGTTGCTTGTCCAGTGCTTTGTTCTGTTCCTATTCACTGGGGAAAGATACGTGGCCCCCTGCACAGGACTAGTTCCCAGCTCCAGCCAGACGTGAACGTGCTCACACGTGTAAGCCCCACGAAACCCAAATGGGTCTCCATCCTGTTCAGACACACTGGGCTGCTGCTCAAGCACTTGGAGGTGGCTGCAAAGTCAGGTTGCTATAGAAATTTCTAAGCATGTACTGTCGATGCTTGTACTTATCTCTTGGCCCAGTCAGCTGGCTTCCCTTTGGGTAGCCTTAGTCCAGGGCTGGGTGAACTGCCCAATCCTACGAGTCTCACTGTCAGGAAAGCGTCACCTCAGGGACCTTGGGAACGCCCAGATCAGGCCTCAGGCCTTCCGAGCAGCCCCCTCAAAGCCAGCTGCCCATGCCGATGTACTATGGATGCAACCCAGATCCCACACAGTGCAGCTGTCCACCTGCCAGCCTCTGCCAGCCTCTGTTCAGACCAGTTCCTTCATCTCCCTGCTCATCCACCTGTGTTGATGGCCCTCCACCCCAGACCCACCTCCACTTCACAACGGTTAGCATCTTGCTGTTTGAAACCTGTGGCTGTGAGAAACCCAGGCTTCCTTCACTCTGGGCCACTGCATTCAGAAGCTGAGCAGCACAGCCCCCCCCCCCCCCCCCCGCCCCACCCTTGAGAGCAGGAAATGTGTATCACATTCGTTTCTGAATTCCAAAGACAGTGTCTGGAACCAACCAGGACTGAACACGGATGGAATCGATGGCAGGTTTGTGTAATTTGCTGTCATTCCGCGACATGGTTTAATTCTCTCTAACGGGTCCTCAGTGTCCCTTTTTTAAGCGGAGCACAGGCTCCGTTTCACATCTGGCATAACTAAATAATGGGCAGCATCAAAGGAAAACTGGCCCTGGCCCCTTGGCTCAGGCGGCTGGAGCGTCATCGTACAGCGAAAGGTTGTGGGTTTGATTCCCGATCACAGCACATGCCTCGGTTTTGGGTTTAATCTCTGGTCAGGGAGTATTCAGGAGGCAACCAATCAATCTCTATCTATCTATCTATCTATCTATCTATCTATCTCACTGTGTCTCCCCCTCCCACCTTCTCTCCCTCTTTCTTTCTCTTTCCTCTTCTCTGTCTCCATCTTTCTCTCCCTTCCTCTCTCTAAAAATCAATAAAAACATGTCTTCAGGTGACGATTAAAATAAAGAAAAGAAAACTGGTGGTTGTGCATAAGACATACAGCCTGAGGCCCCAGCAGGAATACTAGCTTTTCTGGTTTGTTTGGCTCGAGTCTCACTCTTAGCAGCTTGGACACCTGAACCCCACTGCCCCAGCTCTCCTCCCTTCTGTCACCAAGTCTGCCTCACTTGGCTCTTTGGGAGAATGGCTGCCATCTCCACACCCCATCCCACCTCTGACCCTTCTCTGGCTCCCACTTTCAGAGGCCACCCAGCCAAGAGCGGCCAGCGTGTGCTTCTCCGCGGGTTCTTAGCTAAATGAGATTCTAACTATCATCTTCGTGAGGCACTAAACAGAAACTTGACCAAGATGCAAGGCTTGAAATCACTCAGGATTTCCCTAAGGCTGGGTAAGGATTCCCTTTGAAAGCTTCTCCCATCCCTCGATCCAACCGTCTGAGAGAAGAGCAGCAGCAGAAGCCCGCGGTTGAAACCCCCTCTCCAATATAGACACGATATATCCATGGCCGTTCATTTACTACTTTCCGTTATACTGCATACTATTCAGGAGTCCCATCAAGGAAGAAGTCACCGTTTTGTTATACTGCCTGGCATTTAAAAGAAGTTTAAAAACAATGGCGAATGGAAAGGTCAAGGTTACCACGTGTTTCAGAGCGGCCAGGGACCCGTCATTTCAATTAAAAATACACCACGTTGTCAATCGGTCGGTGTCCGGAGCATTTGTTTACGTGCCGTGCCCCTGGAGACCAGCCTCTGCAGGGGGGCAGGAAGGCAGGGCCAGCACGCGTGAGCAGCAAGGGGAGCTGCGTAACGCTTGTTTTTAGAATCTCGGGACAGGGTGGAAAACAAGCGGTCATCGCCACAAAGAGGAACAGGATGTGGGTAGATAGAGTCACCACACATCCATGTACAGGACCAACTGCATCCCTCCCCCCACCTTCCCCCTTCTCCTCCCTGGAACACTGATTTTTTTAAAAAGAAAATAAGCCCTAGCTGGTTTGGCTCAGTGGATAGAGTGTGGGCCTGCGGGAGTCCCAAATTCGATTCCGGGTCAAGGGCTCATACCTCTGGTGCAGGCTCCTCCCCAACCCGGCCCTGGTCCGGGCTTGTGCAGGAGGCAACAAATCAATGCATTTTTCTCACATCAATATTTCTCTCTGTCTTTCTCTCTCTGATACTCTCTCTAAAAATCAATGGGGCCGAAACCGGTTTGGCTCAGTGGATAGAGCGTCGGCCTGGGAACTGAAAGGTCCCGGGTTCGATTCCGGTCAAGGGCGTGTACCTTAGTTGCGGGCACATCCCCAGTAGGGGGTGTGCAAGAGGCAGCTGATTGATGATTCTCTCTCATCGATGTTTCTAACTCTCTATCCCTCTCTCTTCCTCTCTGTAAAAAATCAATAAAATATAAAATAAAATAAAAATCAATGGGAAAATATCCTCAGGTGAGAATTAAAAAAGAAAATAAGGAAATTAGGTACTTATACCAGTGAAAGGAAATAACCTGAATGCCCAACAACAGACATGTTTAGTAATTTATGGCACATTCATGGAAGTTAACACTCTTCGGCCATTTAAAATTGACTTGTGATGAGTAGTTACTGGAGGTATTTCTGAGGGATGGAGCCAGTGATAAAACTCTGTGTGTGATGTCATAGTTCATGTGACGTGCACGCTGGGTGGCACATGTTTTCTCAGCAAGACCAAATAATGTGAGATTGTTTTCTTCCTCCTGTCCTTCGGTATTTTCCAATTTTTCTTCCGAAACAATAAGATTTTCCTTCACAGCGTGTATTTAGAACCAAATATAAGTATATGGAACAGAATAAGCGTCGTCCAAATGTTTCCTTTTTCTTCACCAAAGCGTTCCTGAGGCTTTTGCAAGCCACCTCCACAGCCTCCGGGTGCTGCGTAGTCTCGTTACTCAAAGTGAAAGGAAGGTCTGGAATAACTAAGAGATTGTTTTGAAATGTGTAGCTAGAGAACTTTGGGAGCACACAAGTAAAAGCGAGGAGAGGAGGACTGGAATCTCAGGGAGCCA